TATTCATGAAATGAAGACTTGATCAAAGAGTGATTAGATTCGAATATTGTGATTTGATTATCCAGGTGTATACATTGACAGAATACAAAAGAATTGATTTGGTTAATCAGTACACATTGATCTGAAGACAAGAATAGCTTCCTTTTTTTTTCTTGATAATGGGGCAAATTTGACATGAATATTCAGCTAAGACTTTGTTTTGGGATTGATGGAACCAAATCTGTTCATAAGTTGACTTGCTTATCAAGTGATTGAATTTAATCATTAGCTTTGAACATCAAAATTCTGTCCCAGTTTATGCAAGTGATTAGATCCCATTGAACAACAAGTTCTGTTGACATCCATTTGACTTGATTAGCACTGATCAGTAGGCTCACTCGACCAGATCATTGACTGGTGTCAGATGACAAGTGTTAAGTGTTCACTGATTTGAAGTGAGATATCTTAAATATTATTGACCTCGCCAGCTGCAATTAGTGTCAACAACAAATAGTTATTGAGCTGTCATAAAGACTTTATATAGTGTAATAGCTTTTTAGACACTTATACTCTTAGAGTCAACCTTATATAGTATAACAACAAATTTGTCACTTACTTGTGCTTTATTTTAAGAGGTTGTTGCAAGGTGTTCAAATCATTACTTGAGATCCAACTGTGCATATATTAGTGCTGTTTGCTGTATATATTTTTAGTTTTATTTATTTATATTTATTGGAAAAATTTAGCTGTTAACATAAAACAAAGGTAAGATAATTTTTGAAACATTTAATTATGAAGATATCATAAAGTAAAATCAACATCCTTATTTTTTGAAAATACTGTTCTCAGTGACCGTGTTATCTGTAAGATGGTATAAATATTTGAAAAATGATTTGTATCTTGACAGTTTTTAAAGTTTTTAATGTCAGATCAAACATGTCAAACAAAATCCTGTAGAATTATGATCAATGGAATTATGGTAGGGATTATGTTCCATTATGGTAAATGGAAGAAGTGTCTGAAGCGTTAGCCACCTTCTATATTTACAATCATATAGAGAGTTTATCATTGGTAGAAACAGGTAGCCTGTGTGGAAAACCTATTGTTAGATTGTGGAAAGATAAGCATGCCCTATTTCACTTGACGATGACAGTTGGAGTGCCCTGTGGCCTAATGTTTACAGAAAAATGAAAAACTCAGAAAACATGATAATTTGTACATGTCTGAACATGAAATTGGTGGTGCCTGGTGCTACAGTCTAGTCTTTCATGATGTAGACTTCCAGGCAACCATTCTGTGATTGATGCCATGTGGTTTATTTTATCTTTGTTTATTATGAGCCAACTCTGTTACTATTATAAATAAGCTTATGTACAGTAACAAAATTGGGTCAGGATTAAGAACTTAGCTGATTTCATGGCCTCTGATAAAAAAAAAACAACTCAAGGGAACAAAAAACTATCTTTATTACGGGAAAGCATGGAATCCACTTTTCTGATTGAGCTAATGAAGACTAGCAGCATCATGCAGTATGCAATGAAGGAAATTTGCAAAAAGACAGCTGCATCAAACTTCTCAACTTCGAACTATAAGACGTTTAACCAAACAGGTCTGATTGAAAATTTGAATGGTGAAAATTGCTGCCATCAGTGTCCCTGATACACATAAAAAAAAAAATGATATTGCTTGCCAAAATGCAAGCCCAAAGACATGAAAATTTTAAATCAAGAGTTTAAACATGATATTACAGCAGTAAAGTCAATAGAGAGTTAAACCTTCAGTTTATAAGGGTAATAAAAATGTCAGTTATTAAAAGTGACACATTTTGTCATTGTGTTGACTGTAGGGACTGACCTAGATTGTATATAGGATTGGTATAGGTAGGAAATAGTATAATATTGAGTCACCGAATATCCATCTTCAGTGACAATCTGTTATGAACTTCGTCTTACATCTTGACTTCAATAGTCACCTTGTATCATTTAAATTTGTAAATGCAGCGATTTGATTGGATAGTATATCAGAGAATACAGCCACTAGTCAAAATCTGCGACAGAAAGTCTGTAATCAATAACTTTCTGAAAGGACTATGATTGGCGGTATTAGCTGGTGTTCAATGCAATCAAATCACTGTTCTGTGATACAATTAAGGTTGCTATTGTAGTCAAAGGTATAAGATGAGTCTGTAATGGCTTGACATTGTGGAATGTTGAATATCGTAATGCCATACATATGTTTATTTCACTTTGGTGCTCATTTTGGGGATAGTGCACAAAAAATAGTTAATGTAAGAAAATATGAATTTTTTTTACTTGTCCAAATCCAATAATTGATAATGTTAAATTTCATCAAAAATTTAGGTTTATTAATTTTATTTCAGTTTTGAGAATTAAAGAAACATTATGAGAGCAGGTTTCCACCAGTCACAAGTTGTTAATAGTTGACACAAGATTCTGTTTGCAATAACTATTGATGTCAAATTTTGACAGTCTAAAAATAAACTAGCATTGACACTTAATGATGGTGTGCATTGCCCTTCTTGTCCTCTGTTGTCAACTTAACCAAGAAATTTTATATGCTTTTATATAATGTGAGCTTACATTTGATATCTAGACTAGGCCTCAAATTTTTATCCCACTTTTTAGAAATTTGTGTTGATCTTGAGTTGATTATGTAGCGACATTAATTTCCCAAATACAATAAATCTTTTGAAATAATAACACACAGCACAATGGAAATCTGGCTGTTTTAGTGAATGGGTATGACATATATGTCTAGATTGCCATAACTAAAGACAATTTTATTTTAAGCTATGGCTGCCCCTAAAAAGTAAAGTTTGGCCTAATTGCACTGTGTATATGGAAATCAAGTCTAAGGGATAAATTAGGCTGACCTACTTTCCACTGACACTGTGTAAATGATTTATACCTTATGTCTGTCTACTGCTCTCTAATCTCCTGACACTTGATGAATGGAGTGCAGGGTAGGACTTTACGGTCCACTACCCCTTAGGATAACAGGTGTCCCACTGACTATTGTACACTCTCTGATAACCAGTGTCATATTTTCAGTTGAGATTCAAATTTGTTTAGTTACTATTCAGGGTTAGGCTGTGAAGAGAGAATTTTGAGTTGTGTTCGAAAAGCTTGATTTTATTACTACTGGAGGTTGAAGCTTGCCAACATTTAAAAGAATTTCTACCACTTAAACCTATGTCAAGCATAGCTCCAATATTTATATATATTGTAGCATTTAAGCTTTGTCATTGGATAAGCTTAACTTTGATAAAGCTTACTGTTTTAGGAACATTTAAGTTCATGTGGATGAGTTCTAAGAAGAATTTTGGTATTTTAACTTGACTTTGGATAAGCTCCAAAAGTGACAGCATGTATTCAAGGATGTTTTCGAAGTTCTGGAATTTGAGATAATTTCTTATTTGAATCTGTGCTGTTTTACTCATAAGGAACGTGAATTTTTATATATGCTCGATTGAATGGTGGACTTGAAATTTTAAACTTGTTTTGAAAGTTGTTAAATTTGATGTTAAGAATTTCTATATGGAAATATTGTAAATTATTGATCTACTTGAAATTTATTTGTTGGTTAGTATACTCTCCTCTTATTTTTCTTTCATTTGATATTAAAGCCAAGTTGATGTAGTTAATGTTTATTATTGCACAATACATGGCATTCAATACTGGGATAGGTTGATATAATACTTACTATTCAAGAAAAAGAGCAGGTTAATACTGCTTGACACTGCTTTCCTGGCAAAATTTTCGTCATTGCACACTGCATAGTGTTGCCAGACTTCTTTGACCCAATTAAGTGTAGTCAGAAGTAAGACCTAAAATTTTATTTTATATTTGGAAGTATTTCCATGCTCACTTCATGACATACTTGTCATCATAAGTGCAATTTGGTAACTTTCTGCCAATTAACTTGTTTTCTAGGTATGTTGTTTATTCACTGTCTCAGTAGACCTACTACAATCTCTTATAATTGTTGTGTTCTATTGAAATAGCTTGTAATAATTTTCTCTTAATAACCTTTTGACAATATGGCATGTTTTGATATTATGAATAGGGTCAAATTTGGCAGGTTATTTCTCAAGGAGGATAATATTAAATGTTCAGCTCGCTTTTGACACTAAATTTGAAGGTGGCATTAAGATATTTACTCAAGTTATTTATCACAAGTACTTGTTTAGAGGGACAGTTCCTTCAAATATAAACTTGAAGAGCTATTCGGAAGAATACTAAGTTGACAATCAAACTCCTAGCATGTCCCTTTGTTTTGAGCAATGGTTTATAAAGCCATAATTAAGGCATGCTTTCCCAAATTTGATTTTTTTTTTAACCCTTTATTAGTTTTACTATTATCCTGATATATGGCGCACTGTTTGTTTTCATTAGCGCAACCATGTGCAGAAAAGTGATTTTATTTCCTTCATGGCACACTTATGGGGGTTGTCTGTATTCATAAAATCAATTCAGGTGTAGGAAAGTAGACTGTATGACACTTTTCTTTTATCTTGGACTGTACTTATTGCATCTTAGTTCTTTTTCATTTCCATCATGACACACTGCATAAAACTCCATTCATTTCATTTTTTTGGTACCAAGTGCATGACGAGAGAGAGAGACTGCTATTTATAAACTTGTTATTTATAAGGGAATGAAGTTTGAATCGTAATGAAATAAATTATAACATTGTTCCTGTTAATATGACATTTTTTAATTACATACTATTTAGAGAAATAGTTAATTAAACTTACATGTTAACACTTATTTTTATAATTAATGTTTTAATGTATATATATATATATTAGTTTAAATGGTAGGCAATGAGAAACATAACTATTTATGCAGTCTTTCCTGCTCTTAAATAGTTTTCCATATTTCTTGAGGATTAATAAGGGCATAGGTGGAACCGTTAATAAAATGTTATCATTTGAAGGAAGTACATGTGTGTTCATTTGTGTTTTGTGTTTTTTTTAGTCACGATTATTTTATTTTCAGTATATAAGATACTATTAGATACTATTATCCAATCAAAATGTCCAGTTATCAACAGATGAATGCTTCCGGCCAATCCAGAGCCAGTAAGTATTTTTAAAATTTCTATCATTCTTTTTGCGTGTGACAAAGTAGCATCTTAAATGAGATACTGAAACCAGTTTTGTGGTGTGACTACGGTAAAATTCAGTTGTTCGTATGGAAGTGTGCTACAAGCTTTGCGAGTAAAATGTCCCTTCACAGTTGAAATAAAAAAAGAGTAGGCTGATTGTCTGATTGCACACAAAATGTCTGTCTTCATTAGCTTAATTAGGTGCAGAAGTGTAGCCAAAATTGATTCATTCATTTTAGTGCACACTGTCATAATGTTGCTGTGGCAATTGGTTTTAATCATTGCCCACTGCATGGATCATTACATTATTTAAGTGAGTTCTTAGTTTATTGAACATTAGTAAGAAATCTAATGAATATTATATTATTTCAGTGAGTACTAATAGTAATGACGGTGGTTCTAACTATATGGATTTATCTAATATGCCCATGGATAAACAGAGGACTATGATGTGGCCAGAGCACCAGTATAACATAGATTCCGGTATTCATTCTGGCACTACTACACAGGTTGGTTTCACTTTTTTTAAAGAGATATATTTGTAGAAATACAAACCAATAAAACATATACCAGCTTATTCTTGGCTTAACTCTAAACCAATTGGCATTGATAAGGGAAGATGACTGATTCATCAGACTTTCACACACTGATAAAGAATCCACAACCACCAATCTAAAACTATTTGTACATAATGCTTGATTTTGAGGTTAAAAAAGGTATAAAATAGACTGATTAGATGATATACTAAAGCTTAGTTTCAACTCTCTGTATCTGTTGTTATAAAAAAACGGCTGTGTGGTTTGTGTGACATTAAATAAAAAATGTATAAAATTTCTATGGTGTAACATAACTGCAGATAATAATTCAATTTAAAATTACCAATTTTTGAGTTGTTCATATGATAAAAATTATATTCAATTTTAAAAGGCAAATTCATGCTGCAACATATAAGGTGAGGAAATGTAGGATGTAAAACTCCCCAAGTGTAATTTAAATTGACTAATATATCATTGTTTTAGGCTCCGTCAATCAGCAGTAAAAGTCATGGAGAAGAATTGGATGATGAAGAGAAATTGATGTATGAATGGTCTCAGACTGCAGGATTTGGGGGAGATGGCTACTCACAGGACCAGGTTGAAGGTATGTAATTAACTTTATAAGAAATAGAAATGACAATTTTAACAAGGATAACATATTAGGTTCATAAAGATCTTTTCTGCCAGTTATCCTTGGCTAAATCTTTTGGTATTCATCATTCCTGAATAATTATTAACACATTTAAAGCTGGGTTGACTGCAATTATAAGTGAAGGTGACTTATTCAAGGTTTTCAGACTAAATCAAATGAAGATTATAACCCACAACCACTATTTGAAAAGGAAAATTGTAAGAACTAATGTTTTGATTAATAACCTGTGTCTGTCTGGTTGTATAAGTTATATATATATTGTTCTCAGAGTGTTCTCATGCAAATCAAACAACTTAAGAAGAAATGTTGGAACAGGAATTACTTTTCATCATGTTATAAGAAAATTCCTTACTAATCTGTGGTACAGTGGTATTCATTCAACATTTGTACTTAAATTACCCAATATTCAGTCTGCCCATTTGACTGGAGGTGCCAAAAAGACGACACATTCCTTCTGAAGTTACATCAATGAAATCGTTTAATTTTCAGATATCAACCAAACATTGAATCAAACTCGTTCCCAGAGGGTACGAGCTGCCATGTTCCCTGAAACACTTCCCGAGGGTGTACAGATTCCATCCACCCAAATTCATCCAGACCAACCCACCGCAGTCCAGCGTTTGTCCGAACCATCCCAGATGTTAAAACATGCTGTGGTTAATCTTATCAACTATCAGGTAACCCTTAGATTTAGTTGAGGGGTAGGGGCTGGAACTCAATTTAAGGTATTTTTTTCTGTAGAGGAATACTGTTTAAATTTTCGACAATTGCAGAAAATTGTTGAAAATTTCAAAACTCAATTGAGCTTAAACATCCGAAAGATTAGGGGTAGAGCTTAAACCCAATTTCGTGTAGAAAAGGGCTGACTTAATTTGCAAAACATTCAAAATAGGATACACAAATTTTTTATTAGTTTCAAAACTTGATTTAGCACTTTTTCTTTGTATGGTTCCTTGAAAAATTTCAGAACCTATTTTTGTGTACTTCCAGGATGATGCTGATCTTGCTACGCGAGCCATCCCAGAATTAATCAAACTTTTGAACGATGAAGATCAAGTGGTAGTCACCCAGGCAGCCATGATGGTTCATCAACTCTCTAAAAAAGAGGCTAGTCGTCATGCTATTATGAACTCCCCACAGATCCTTGCTGCATTGGTGCGAGCCATGAATAATACAGATGATTTAGAAATTACCCGATGTGCTGCCGGCACCCTTCACAATCTATCCCATCACAGACAGGGTCTTCTGGCCATCTTTAAATCTGGGGGGATACCTGCTCTAGTTAAACTTCTCAGGTGAGTGAAATTGAAGCTGAACTTTTGGCGGCGCTTTATTGGTGAGTTTTGATCAGGTTCCATTTGCTCCAATTCTAGTTTCAATCAGGACTAGATTGTCACATTCAAAATTCCCCCTTCTGTTCCTTTCTCCACCATTTAAAATTCTGTCATCACCTATTTAAATGAATTATTGAATGTCAGGTTGATTACATGAATCCTAAACGTGTAAAAACTCACCAAGAAGGCCCCCTTAGTCTTAAGTGTTTCTCATGATATTTTAGGAACCTTTTGTCAAAAAGTTAATTCACATTTTTTTTTCTCCTATCTAATGAGTCTATATGAAGGATTCTTGACAAAAGCACATAGTATTGCTTTTCGCACAGTGCAAGTATGATTTAGATAGGTAATCCATCTAGTTTTAAAAATGTGGTTGATTGATCATTAACTCCTTTAGTATGACATAGAAAAATCCAATTTAAATGTTTACTTTCAGTTCACCAGTAGAATCTGTTTTATTTTACGCCATTACAACATTACACAATTTACTCTTGCATCAAGAAGGATCCAAGATGGCTGTCCGTCTGGCAGGAGGTCTACAGAAAATGGTAGCTCTCCTTCAGAGAAATAACAATGTAAAGTTTTTAGCCATCACTACAGATTGTCTTCAAATTTTAGCTTATGGCAACCAAGAAAGCAAGGTATGATTGATTTTATTTTCCAAGTTGTCATCCTAATTAGTGAATTTAAAGTACATATTATGGTCTAATAAGTCATAGCAGCCTTATACATCAATGAATTTCAGATTATCTTCTGCACGACCATTAGGTTTCATGGGTTAAAATCTTGTTAAGTAAGAAAATGTCTTTTCACTTGATATTACATTATCAGTATGAATTTTATTATTGATCATGGCTTGTAATTCATGAATTAAACCTGCTGTGTATACCTCAGCCATTATTCATTGTAAGCCAAATTTTTGTAATTCACTTAGCATTTGTAAATAGAACCAACCGTGCACCTCAGCAATTCTGTTACAGAATGATATAATTCACACGCCATTAGTGATTTGTATATTGCTCACTGATTTTGAATTATTGTATCTTTGTGATGACTATTCCACTTGTAATTTGTATTTTACAAGCTGTGTTATTTGTATATGGTCTGCTGTTTGGAATGTTTAGCTTATAGTTGTAATTATCTATACCTCTTGTAATTTCAGCTTATCATCTTAGCCAGTGGTGGACCAGGAGAGTTGGTGAGAATTATGAAATCGTATACCTATGAGAAGTTGTTGTGGACAACATCCAGAGTGTTAAAGGTCTTGTCAGTTTGTCAGAGCAACAAACCAGCCATTGTGGAAGCCGGTATGTTTTTTGATATTTTGAATCCTATTTGATATTTTCTTCTGAATGTTTTTTTTTTGTACGTCTCAAATATTTTCATGGACTATGTAAATGGACAAATTTGCTGAAGTTTTGAGGTTCCTGTGTAAAAGACAAAGTCTACCATGATTTATTAAGATTAAAGCTGCGTTTTCTTTAGTACTTATTCGGTGCAGCTCCGGTCCGTGTGTGGACACGGCAGGTTGTGTTTCCTTATATGCGGTTATTCATGTGGAAGGGGGTCTCTTTTCGACATGGCACCAGTATCGTCAAGGTTCTTACAAGAAGAAAAAACAACAAAGATTGGTATTCCCCTACCTATTTTTAGCTTTTTGCCATGTGGGCTATGCAACCAGTGTTTCCATATGTGCGTTTCAGGACACTGTTACATACCAATCGCTACATGGTACCGTTCTCACTTATTTTTGCCGTATACGCATCCGGACCAGATCCATACTTAAGGAAACGCAGCTTTATTCTCCTGTGCACCAGCACCACCCTTTTGGTACCATATGGTATAGATCTTTCCAAGATTATAAATTAACTTCTGGGTTGACTGAAATAATGAGGAAAGATGACTTATTCAGTTCTCATTTACAGCTGGTTCATCAAAATAAAATTCCTTATTTTGAAATTTCTCAAATATTTTGATCTATGTTGCAGGAGGTATGCAAGCCTTAGCTATGCATCTAGGCCACCAGAGTCAGAGATTGGTACAGAACTGTCTGTGGACTCTACGAAACTTGTCTGATGCTGCTACTAAAGTGGTAAGTTTAATTTTAATTTCTATCTTTCCTGTCATAGAAAAAAGATTTGACAATAAACCAAAGCCTCTTTGCTACAGTACAAGAGGGGTCAATTGGGAAAAAGAGTCAGTTTTCAATGAAGTGAAGTCCTGGCAGGATTTCCTTGGTTGAGCACTGCTTGTCTTCATTGCCCAAGCGCAATATGAGCCTTTTATGTTCATATATTTAATTCCGTAACATTAATGAACCAGAAGAACAGACATTAATTTTCCAATGTTCCATTTCAGGATGCTCTTGAAGGTATCTTACAAGTTTTGACCCAGCTATTATCGTCTAATGATATCAATGTTATAACTTGTGCTGCTGGCATCTTGTCCAACTTGACATGTAATAATCAACGTAATAAAGTTATCGTTTGTCAAGTTGGTGGTATTGAGGCTCTAGTACGAACCATCATGCAGGCTGGAGATAGGGAAGACATCACAGAACCAACAGTAAGTTTCGTATGTTTTTTTTATATATTCAAGGACATCTTTGTATGTGGATGTTTATTGTCAGTTTAAGTTTTTATTACTAAGTATTCTAGCTAAAAATAGAATGGACTGCTCATGTTATATTAATATTCTGAATCAGACACAGATGAGAACAAATATCTTGACATTTGTTTACATTTTATTATTATGCTGAAAAAAGTATGGAGTATTTTTCTAAAACTAATCGTGAGAAGCCACATCTGTTGAGGGTTTTTGTATCCGTGTAGCAATATTCTTTGAATGATGCGTCAACATTTTACATACATTTTAACAATTTTCATCTTTAAGGTGTGTGCCTTGCGTCACTTGACAGCCCGTCACCCAGAAGCTGAGATGGCCCAGAATGCAGTTCGATTACACTACGGACTTCCTGTCTTGGTGAAACTTCTACATCCACCAAGCAGATGGCCGCTAATCAAGGCCGTGGTTGGATTGATCCATAATCTAGCTCTGTGCCCTGCTAATCATGCCCCTCTCAGAGAACATGGTGCCCTTCCCCGTATTGTCCAGTTGTTGATACGTGCCCACCAAGATACACAAAGGGTAAGTTTTTGTGTTAATTTTGGACTTGTGTTGAAGCAATTGCATATGGCAATGCTTTTGAGTTTGGTGTCTGGATTGCAATTTGAATGGGTGCATAATAGATTTTACTTGTGTTTACCTTGTCCAAAACCAATTTGAAATTTATGAAGTTTCTTAAATATCTCCATTCATTGACAAAACTAAAACATGAGAAAGAAACGTCAACATCTTAACTTATTGTGTAATTCTGTTACAGAGAGCCAGTGTGAGCTCTGCTAATGGTGGACCTAGCTTAGTGGATGGTGTCAGAATGGAAGAGATTGTCGAAGGCACTGGTGGAGCACTCCATATTTTAGCTCGTGAACCACACAACAGAGCTGTCATCAGAGGACTCAACTGTATTCCACTTTTCGTACAGGTAAAAAACTCTTTGCCATTTTCTGTGTTCTACAGATCAATAGTTAAAAAGTAAAGAGATGAAGTAGAACTTCAAGGGGATTGTGGTTATCTAAATTTTTGTGTATCTCAAAGCATCAATTTGCAACATTTCAATTTTTGGTCTGACGTCTGTGGCTAGCTGGCAGTAATGTGTAAAGACATGAAACCAGATTCTTGAAAAAGTGTCTACTGCATATGAATACCATCATCACTAACCTACCTAATCAACAAAATATAAATAGGATGTCCAACTCATTTTAATTTTAGTTTGCTTATTCCTTAAATCATATATTGGTTAAAACTTCTTAAGAATTTTGACAGAAAAATTAGAAACTGCTCACCAACTTAAGATGCTTACTTGCAAACCCAAAGGTCTGAGGGGGCTTACATGGGAAAATTGTCAAGTCGTTCAGATAGGACAATAAGTAGGATGTAACACTAATCTTTTTTTTTTGCAGTTGTTGTATTCACCAATTGAAAACATACAGAGAGTAGCTGCTGGTGTATTGTGTGAACTAGCTGCTGATAAAGAAGGTGCTGAAATCATTGAACAGGAGGGAGCAACTGCTCCTCTTACTGAGTTATTACATTCTAGAAACGAGGGTGTTGGTAAGTTTATCTGATAGATCATGGATGAAAATTTTCCTGATTATATAATATAATCTGATTGCTCTCCCTTTACCATTTTTTATCTGTGTGTGTATGTTAAAGATCCCTTGACAGATGGAAATTGAAAAAGGTTAAGTAGGTCAAAGCCACTGTCCTGGCAAAATTATCCCTCATTGCACAAAGCATGCCGTGAGTTCTTATTAGTCTAAACACCAGCAGAAAAGTCAGATGTAAAACTATTTTGTTTATACAATAGCCCTCTAATTCAGTCGTAATATAAGATGTAAAAAGCAAATCAAGTTTTAAACTCCTGAAGAAGATTGAGAAATGAGAAATCAAGGAGAATAATCTCTAGTATACAAATAAAATTAATAGACATTTTTGTCTGCTTCCAGCTACCTATGCTGCTGCCGTGTTATTCCGCATGTCTGAGGACAAACCTCAAGACTACAAGAAAAGACTGTCCATGGAATTGACCAGTTCTCTTTATCGAGGAGATCAGAATCAGGCATGGAGTGATGTAAGTTTCTTTCTCTCAAATTCCAACTGTCTTTTACTAATTTGATTCCAGGTTTTTCAAAATGATTCCTGATTGAGCTGTCTATTCTTTCAAAGAGAGTTTTTGGTTTGCCGTAACTGTCGTACAAATTTATTTCATGTTTTGTAACTGGAAAAAGCCTCTAGTCGTATGAAGGGGACAATAAATTGAGACCCTGTGTGATACAGGGTGTACACATTAAAGATCCAGTTGGAAATGCAAAAAGTAAACTAATGTCCTGGCAGTATTTCCCTCATTGCACAATCACACTGCATGGCGTTGCCAGTCTTCATTAGTCCATAAAATTCATAATAAAACTCTTTTTTTCCTCAAATTGATTCAATCTTAAAGCAATAGTTTGTAAAAATTGTGAATTCAGAGAAGGGGTTGTAAAAATGATAAGGATGTAGAAACTAGAAGCTAATATGGTATTGTGCACAACATTTTTATGCGCCCACATCTCTATATGTGGACGTATATTGTCGGCACACCTGTCCGTCCGTCTGTCAACATTTGCTTGTAAACTCTCTAAAAACTAGTTTTTGATGGAATCAAATGAAATTCTTTAATTCTTTAATTTTTACCATCCGCATGCCGCAGTGGGCGTATATGGCTGTGGTCCACTATCTTTATATGTGGGGGCGTATCCATCCATAATTGCTCTTAAACACTCTACAAGGTACAATTCTTGACAGATATCTATAAAACTTGGTATGGTTGTTATCACCCAAGGATGAACCCTATTGAAAATCAGAAAATCGGAAAATTGTTATTGCCCTTGTTCTTGAAACAGTCCAGAAGTCACAATTCTTGACAGATTTTGATGAAACTTGGTGTGATTATTATCACCCAAGAATGAGCACTATTGAAAATCAGAAAGATCGAAAAATAATTAGCATGAGTTATTTCCCTTGTTCTTGAAAATAGGTTCAATTTTAGCTAGTAAACACTGTAGAAGGTTCAATTCTTCACAGATTTTGATGAAATGTGGCATGAATGGTTATCACCCAAGGATTTTCCCTAGCGGAAATCAGAAAAATCGAAAAATATTCATGAGTTATTGCCCTTGTTTTTAAAAACGCATTAAAGTTACACTCTAGAAGGCCCAATTCTTGACAGATTTTGATGAAACTTGGTAATATTATTTAGTATCGCCTCAAAAAGTTCAAAAGAAGTGTATGTCTGAAGGTTGAATAGTTCATACTGGCAATTGTTACTGTACTATCAAATTTGTTTACGTCATTAGGCATATATTACCTTGCCTGGCAAACTATCTTTATGCTAAAAATTCTTTTCTAAATACCTTGTTTACAAAAAATATAGCAGCCAAAAATTTACCCAGGTAATTTTTGCAGACTTCATTTTCATGATTGTGAATTATTATTTATTTCAGCCTCCAGGATTTGAGGATGTAAGTCAGATGAACATGCAGCCAGAAGGTACCAGGGAACAGATGTATCAGGCCCCTCCTCACCATGGCAGTCAGGGCAGCATGTACTCAAATCAACAAGAGATGAACAGACATGGTAAGTAGCTTTCTTGCCCCTCACAAGCCTTTCGCTCTACCTTAAAGGAAACGGAAATTACTTATAAGAACATAGACTCAACAGATTTCTTACTCTTTAGATTGGGTAGCTTGCCTACAGCTTTGGATTGTTGTTTGCTTTGAAATAAGTGCTTTGCTTTGAAATAAGTGCACTGCTTTGACATAAGTGCACTATATTCAAATCTCTGAACAGACAAAATTAACTTTCGATTGTTGAAATTAGCCATTCACAGATATGCATTGTTATACAAGTTAGATCTAAATCAAAATTTTCTGCAAAAGACAATTTCAAAATTCACATGAGCTCATGATCCTGACCTCAGGTCAGTTTTTTTTCCAAATGTTTTCAGATGTCAATTTAATGAAACATTGATGTAGGAAGTTGGTTTGACGTCAAAATATTCTAGAACTAGTTCAACTTGTTTTAGTGTCATTTGTTACCAATTAGACATAAGAGTTGTGGATGTACTTGCTTAACAACTTCACATGTCTTGATTTGTAAATGGGACATTCATCATGGAGGCTGGGTTCATTTCCACTCTACCTTGAGTCTTGTGTCAAAATAAGATTAATCATGACATAAATTTAAATTTAGAGTCTTTGTTGTTTAAATTATACATTTGAAAGCAATCCTAGTAATATATATTGCAGTATTCGTTACCTATCAAAAAAAAAAGGGAAACTGGAACTTTCCTAATAGAAAATGGCATTGAAAAACACTGAAACTTTGTGGGAAGACACAATTTTCAGTGAGAAATTGTTGTGCAGCCAATCTGAATTATATATAACATGTAATATAATTATAACTGATACAAATACAAATCAATTGGTAATGGTTACATCGTACTAGCTACAGAAAATTTTCTTGCTTTTGACATTTGAATTTTCCTTTCTGTTCCTTTCAATCTCAATTTGAAGCCAGCTTTACAAGGACACATGTTTTTGTAGATTTTTTTTGTCTTATTTCAATTTATTTCTGTTTTTCACAATTTTAGGTTTTGAAAATGTGCCCACAGATTCTATGCAAGGTTTAGAACTTGGCAGTCATCATGGAAGTGGATACGGGCCCATGGACAATATGGCTGACCTTGGAACTGCGTCTGGAGATTTTAATCTGGATTCTAACATGCCACAAGGTGATAATCATCCAATGACTTGGTTTGACACAGATTTGTAAAATCCACGAAAAAAAAAACAACTTTAATTTAAAAACATGACATTTGGCTTTTTTAATGTGATTTTCATGGTTGAAAATGCAACATAATGTTCATGCTGTATATACCAAATTCAACATGAACCATGAACTTCATGCAAATAAGCCAGTTGTCATGGAAACCTATCTAAAATCTATCTTTAACATATCTCATTCATTTCATTACATGTATAACATGTTTTTTTTTTTTAACTTTTATAGAAATTTTGTCCAACTTGGATTTGTCTATGAAATTATTTGACTTTGAATCAAAATAATATGGCTGCTCTGTAGATCAAATGCTTTTAAAATAGAGGATTGAGTCAAATAATTTTGAGATGCAAATTTTTAAATTGGTCTGGACCATTTATATATCCATTTTTGTGTACATAAAACATGATTATATTTCATTTTTCATTCCTGTATGTTTTTAACCTATTTTACACAGAAGGCAAAGGTTATTTTGAATTTTAGTCTTGTTTTGATAATTTGTAAAGGGCTATTTTTGTAGAAATTTGAAAATATACTTCAAAAAACTGCAATTATATGCAAAACTGTGCTAAAAAGTGTCCTTTCCCTGGCATTAGCAAATTGTGCTCCAAAAGAATTTCCATGAACTAGACTAACTCAAAATAAGCTCTGCCTAAAAAATTGCTTTGTGCATTATTTCGCGTCATTTACATATTTAAAAGCAATTAGTTCAAATGAACCTTCAATATATTTTTTATGTATGTTCTGATGTTTTAAAATTTTGATCATTTTTCCATTTTTTCTTCCTTTTCGAAATTGGAAATTTTCATTTTGTAATTTTAAGAATGCTAAATTTAAGATAGCAACTGTTTTATAGAAATCAAACTTTTGAGACTCCAGAATAGGGGTTTATGTATATTAGTATTATATCTGTGTTTAAAACTAAAATTTTTAGATTAGTTCTTCAACTTTTGTGGTCTAAATTTTGTTTGATCAAAATAATTTTCATTAAAAAAATTATATTGGAAGATTTCAATCCATATTTTTTCAAATTGATAAAGAAATTGGTCCAAATTTTAAAGTATTTATAATTAATATTACAAACTAAATTTTTTTTTTTCATAAAATCTAATAAATTTGAGATTTTCAAAGTATCCAAACATCTATGCCATGTGTGGAGTAATCTAGAAGAGGAAATAGTTTTCTATGAGATATATTGAGTAAGAATATTTTAGTAATGTATTATATTATGAAGTAGTATAGTATTTTGCAATAAGATTTCATGTCATTATCTAGAAAGATTATCTCTATCATATTCAAATATTTCTGTATCTCTATTTGCATGATCATTAAAAATGGTGTTTTGTAATAAAACTAGCTTTTCATGTGAGGGTAGCTCCAGTAGCTTGGTAGAAATAGGTCTAAAGTCACCTTTCGATTTTCCCCTGTCAGTGATGTAGAAATAGAGGGGCTAAAAGGGGGGAAAGTGTCTATTGGATAGGGAACATAAACCAAGGCCCTGTGCTGTAGGCTGTGTACACAACCTAGAGACCTATTTGAAAAAAAGAAACTAAGCAGCAAGGAATGCTGATTTTATTATGGTTAAAAATACCACCTTTAAGTGCCTTAACCAAATGCCACCCTCACTTGTCATATACACCAAAAATAATTACATCTTCTCTAGTTTAATGATGTAAAAGGTTTTCCCAATGATGGCAATAGTATTTTATGCTTTTTATAATTCCATCATATAAACCTATAGTGATCTTTTTTCTGTTCTATTAAGAATCATTTATTCACTCAAAACACCCATCTTTCATTTAGAAAAGATAGCTTGCCGGGCATGGTAATACACTCCCACTGATAGCTTTGATCTTATTCAAAACATTTGGCAGTACAGTAACAATTTACCAGTATGAAATATTCAACCTTGAGTCATACACTTTGAACTTTTTGGGGCGATACTGAATAATATAAAGTTTGTCAAGAATTGTGCCTTCTAGAGTGTTTACAAGCAATTGTGGACGGACATGGGTGACGACAATATACACCTCCCATTTCATGCGGGCATTAAAAAAAAAAAAATGACATGCCCACGACAACCTGATTTGGAACATAAATAGTATTCTTACAGGACAATATTATTAATACAATGCAAGAAATTGAATAACACATGGAGATGAGCTCTTTTACATTTAAGCCTTTTAGTCTTTACACTTTGCTGACTTTGATAATAAATTATGTTTCAAAGTTAATCACCACTTTCAAACTAGCTGTCCTGGTGATGGTTTTCTTACTAGGATAGTGTCAACAACACATAATTTTTTTACCACTGTAATTTCCTACATTAGATATGAGACACAGAAGAATTCCATAAAGCAGCCATTGTTCACCGCACTTTCATTAATTTATGTATTTTTGCACAACAATTTTAGCGTCTATTCTGTGGTAGACCTCCTCCGCGTCCTTTCCCATTGTTCATTTGACCCCCTCTATTTCCATGGTTACCAGAATTTTGTGGACGGGGCATTCTTTGATTGTTATAGTTACCAGACTGCTGGAAATTTCCTGTAGATAAAAGAAAATTAATCAAAATATAACAAACAACTTGAAGTATGTAGACTGAAACAAATATAGGGTTTGCAAATTATAAACACCTCAATAATACCTTTTTTTAAATGGATGAAGAGTTGAAAACAGAATTATCATGTAACATTTTGAGGACTAATCAAAAGAAGATAGCTTGCAAGGTAATATACGCCCACTGGCAGCTTTGATTTTGAATAAAAACATTTAGCAGTACAGTAACAATCACCAGTATGAAATATTCAACCTTCAGTCATACATTTCTTTTGAACTCTTTAGGGCGATACTGAATAATATTGAGTATGAGTGCTTCAAAACCGCTCCAATTTTTATTCATGTGGGCATATTAAAAGTACAGTAGATCATGCAGCTCCAAGTGTTTATGAAGGTTGAATGAACACAACCTGCCCTGTCACAGTGCTCATCATTGGTAAACTCCATCTAAAATTTATCATAAAATCTCCAATACTGCCCACCTTGAGTTTGTTGGTTATAATTATGTGGTGGAGGTCTGTTACTATTATTAGATTGGCCACTACCACCAGTGTTTGATGTTGCTGGGTTATTACCATTGGGATCATTCGGATCTGTTGGTGATTTTCTTTGAGGTTGGGGTTGTTCCTAGAAGTAAAATACATGTTGGAATGGCCAGTTCCATAGTTAGAGTATCACATGCCTGTCTGACATCTAGGGTTTTTCATTCTTGGTCAAAGTATTAACAAATCTTTTTTTTTCATTTAATCCATTGACTTTATAATGTAAAAAGAAATTGTTCAGACTCATAGAAAAGCTGTGTGCTCCAACCATGTGCTTAAATTCTGCAGAACCATGAAACACAGGGACTTGACTGGATTGTACGCCAACTAATACAGTCCAGAAAGAAAGATTTTTTGTTGAGGCCTCTAAGATCTGTAATTGCTAGCATATTCAATCAAATCAGTGTGATAACAAACTTCAGTGATACAAGAAAGGTGGCTATTGATGTCAAGGTATAAGCTAAGGTCCTAATCACTTGACATTGTAAAGATGAGTCAAAGCAAGCCTTATTTTTTATTTTCACTGAGAAAATCTAGCTTGAAATGTGTAAAAGTTTCTAGTTCTTAAACCTTCATCAATTGTCCCAGTTAAAAAAAACAAGCTAAATATTGGGCTTCCAGTTTATGTTTATAAATATAAAACCATGCTCACCATTTTAAGGAATTCAGGATTTGGATCACTCATATTTGGCGTTTCAGAAAACTGCATACAAAATCTGAAAAGAAAATTGAAACTTAAGGTGTTGTGATTAGATCTCCAGAAAGGAAACTCATTGTGAGGATTCAGCTTCTTGGAGGGCAGAGTTCTTCTGTTTTACAAAGATTCAATAATTGTATTGATTGCAAGCACTAAAATCTTATCTGCTAGGATTCATTCATCTTAATTTTTGGAATAGCTCCTTTACAATGATCAACTATTATAACCTTTATCCCTTGACTTCAATAGCCATCATTCTTGTATTGCCCAAATATTTTGTAAGTACTCACTCTCCTAGTTTGACAATGTCACCAAATTTACTCGAATACAAAGTTAATGAACCTTTCCACACATTAGCATAGCTACAAAGAAACAAAATATTTGTAAACAAGATTTTCTAGTGGAATGCACCAATTACTGGACTACATATAAGAACTTTAAAAATGTCTTCATCTATCTATTCATTCATCCATCTATCCATTCACTAACTCATCTATCCCTTTATTCATTCACCCAGCAATATTCATTGTTTAATGGGACTAAAAATGTCTATTATTTACTCATTCATTCATCCTCACATTCATCAATCCATTCACCCATTCAACAATTCATTCACTCAGTCATCATTAAATTCACCAATTTATTCATTCATCAATCAATTCACCCATTTATTTATTCAGTCAATTCACCCATTCATTGACTATTTACGGTACATTCATCCCCTTATTTATTCATCTATAACTTCATTCATTTATCTTTCATACAGGCCATCCACCATTGCTTCATGTGATTTAATGTGTGAGCTCACTTACCCTTTAGTTAATCGACAGATGTCACCGGTCTGTAAGGCCTCACCCAGTTCATCCCAGAGAGAGATATTGATACACCCGGTTTTATCTGAAACTTTACAAGATCGTACCTCATGGCCATCTTTTGTTCTTGTCGGTTTGGCTGAAAAGTTCACAAGCATTAATCAAGACAGCAATAATTAAAGCCTACATGTAATTTAAAGCCTAAAGCCTTGGAGTTTTAATAGGAGTATATAAATAATTTGATATGTTTAGAAACATCTAAATACACAACAGTCTATTGGTTTTAGTTCCAGAATTACTTCGACAACGGACGTTTGATTGAAAATAGGAACAAAAAAAAAATTAAAAAAATTAACAAGCCCTTCAATAACACTGCATAAAAAAAATACAGTTATTATATAAAGAACTGTATGCATGTGCGGTTTCTATCAACCTTATGCTTCTCTATTTTTTTACATGGTTTTTAGATTCCTCTAGAGGAAATTGCAATTAACCGGCCAACCCATAATTATGATACATTTTTTAATAAAATATATTTATTAAAAATAAAAAAATCTGGATAATAAAGACAATCATACATGATAATCAAGTCTACAAAAATATTGGCAAATTTCCAACCTCCCACAACAGTAAAATTCATACGCTGTCAATCCATTAACCAAACTACTCATTTTAGCCATTTTCTGCACACAAAAGTCGATGACAAAAACAAAATGGCTAAGAAATTAATTTGTACATACCTATATCAAGAACAATGAACATGATGTTGATATTTTTCAGCCCAGGTCGTAAATCTTTCACATACGTGTATGTAATTTCCCCCATCTTCTTTCAAAACTAGAATTATTTTCTTCTGCGTAGTTTAAAGTTGCTTCTCGTCTTCACTCTTGGTCCTTTCTTCAGCTGTGTTTTTGATTTTGTCAAATTTTCATTTTCTACCAAAAGAACCCCTTTCTTTGACATGTGAATGTATGGGCCTACTTTTCAGAAAAATTCAGCATTAGAATCAAACTTTGGTTATGAAATTTGAACCTATAACTAGCCTACATTTTAAAAATTATTAGTAGGAAATGAATAGAATGGGCAGTTTGTAGCTTATCAATTTAGATACTATTGCAAGATCGCTAGTTATATAATTGTAAGTTTGAAGGTCGAGATCTAGAATCAAAATCAGCAATATTAATATATATGTGAATCTTTACAGGTCTGTAGAAATAATGGCAACGAAGCGCAGTATAAGCGTGTATTTATAAAAGTATCACTGGGCTATGTTCGTTTAGATCGATAACGTCTTGGCATCCAAACCACACACTATTACAGAAAGACCTTCGTTTTGTCCACGGATTTAGCCAATATGAAAATAGAGTTTACTATATTGTCTGGAACTTTGTACTATTGTAGAATATAGAAACATAAGACATCATCCTACTCTGGTTTATAATTTTTATATATTTTCTTTTTAGAAAATCGGTTAAAGTCTAAAGGATGTTTTTAATTTCCAGGGGCCTTGGATAGTTTTGCTTGTGAGATTTTCATTTCCTAACCTAAGAAGACAGCTGGTGGTACGTGGTAAAACTCTAATTTATCTCGATCTCAGTGAGTTCTTGGCATTGGACTTCTTCAAAATGTCAAGCTGGTTGGTTGGTTAACGTTCGCTTCCAGCGCATTCTGATATCGCAAACTAGGTAGTTGTTGGTAGTCGTAGAAGTTGGTTTGATTGGTTCAAATTGGATGATTCTGTGTTGTAGGTTTTGGTTGTTGATAATTCGTTAGATCTGATCGGGTCGTATGTCATGGCTGTGAAACTCGGCCCTGGATGGTGTGGCGTCAGTTACTCAATCTCCTTCATTCTTCCAAACTCGTTCTGATCATGGTAATTCTTGTTGACTGGTAGTCGTTGGTTTGGTTTGGTTAGATTTTCTAATAACTGTTGGAAAACTAGAAGACCTGGAAAAAAAGAAAAAATGCGAGAAAAGAGAGGGAAAAGCTTTCAACAAAAGGGGAAAAAGATGTTCTCAGATGTTTCTGCAGTGAAACTTGTTAAATTGATGGGATACAATGTATAATTTAGAAGTGTTAAGAAACTTTGAGAGTAAAAACTTAGCCTATCTGTTCAAGACAGATTTGGTTATAAATTGGTAGACGAGTTCCATTATCGCATACCACTGATACCAGTGTTCCATGAGTGGAGCCAAAACATTCTGTATCGTGAGTGGTATGTCAATGTCAAGCTTTTACGACATTCGTCTTATACCTTGACAGTCTTTCTTGTATAACGGAATGCAGCTATTTGATTGGATTATACGCAAGACTACAAGTTTCGGGCAATGTATAAGTCTTTTTCCAAGGGATATGTTGTCTAATTATTAATATGCCAATAAGTTGATTCAGGGGGAAATGGAGATAAAACATTCATCATTTCCAGAGCTCTCTTCAATACTTTCATGTTTAATTAAAGAGGAATGGAATGTTGGAATTATGAAAAGAGATACAAATAGCAAAAATTAGACCCTGAAAACAGGTCTAAAGCTGATAATGGGACGTTCCTTTAGCAAAGGTGTACGACGTTTATGGAACAAAATAATTAGACGCCAATTAAATGAATAATAAAGACATTTTCATTCTGCAGCATTTAATTTCAAATTACAAACGACAAGTTTCTTCAATTTCTTCAAATTTGTCTTCTTCTGGCTTGATCTGATGGTTTGACCTGTTCGATTTCTTTACACCTTTTGGCTTCTGCAAACCCTGAGGCGTCTTTGACTCTTCAGGTTGTGGATCATCATTTATCTTGGAGGCGATTTCGTCTTCCATCGTTTCCTCGACATCGGGCTGATAAGTCAGATGATCCACTTCGTCCTTAAACCGGATGTGAATCTCGGCCATGATTCCCGCCAACAATTTCAAGCCGCCAGTGATTATTTCCACCACGTAGGAGAAACCAAAAACCACCGCCGTGTCCGAATTTTTAGACATTTCCTTGATGTATTTATTTGTGTACACTCCATAGGCTACAATGGTTACGATAAGTGAGATTACTGAAATACATAAGAGTTTATGTTCAATTGAGTTTTACTTCATGTATATAACTACGCCGTGTAACTGTAAGCTTATCCAACTGAGGAGACGAGCAGTGTGGTGGGGACGAAAAGTTGCAAAGTCTTGGGTATTGATAATCTTTATCAACCGTAAAAACTTGATTCATTATCATACTAACGATTATAAATGCAGATTTTTCCGTAGAAAATAGTCCTATTTGTGCCTAATATAGTTTTGCCAGTGTGATTGTCCTTTGTTATCCGGTAGAAGCCATGGGTAGCGGTGTATCGGCAAACAAAAATATAATGCCAAGACTAGCGCTTTAGTTAGTTGACCCACAAACTTCCTTATATTAAAAAAAACTAACTTACCAGCTAGATGGTCGATGACTACCGCAAACCTTAACAGTTTGGTATGGCCTTTCCTCCCTTTGGCTAGGATAAGTGCTCCAGCAGTAGACACACCTCCAATCAGAGTGAACAACAATCCTAATAATACACTACATTGTACAGCTCGAAACAAAGCTGAAAATACAAAACACCGAGTATAAACAATGGTGCTTACGTTTGTAGGTACCCTCAAAGTCAAAAGATATGATGTCAGTTCTTTGGAGAGTTGTTCCAATTTCCAGCATTTAGCATTTGTATTATTCATATCTGATCTGATACGCTGAATGGTCATGGGGAGCATGCAGTACCAAGCATTCAAATAAAAAAAAATAAGATCCCAATTAGGGAAAGTATACTTTAGACAATATTATGGCACTAACCTACATTATGTATGAACATGTCAGAGGATAATTTGTGAGAAGGGAGAAGAGTGCAAGAAGGGACAAGAGGAGAAATGGTTGGGGGTTATAGTTAATGTGTTTTGGGGATTAGAAAGATGGGCGAGGGTCTTACCATCCATTTCTTCCTCTTGGATGTCACCACAAACATATCCCTTGATCCCATCAATTTTGACACATCTCTTCCACAACCCATCACGGATGTACTCCTTTCCTTGGTAGGATGTCAACCTCCAGAATTGGGTGACAAGTGCTGCGATGTGGAATATGAATGCTGCAGCACTGCATCCCAAACTAAGTAGAATAAAGTATGTCACCTTTCCTGGCAGCCGCATAGTGTTGAGACTCTCTACTTAGTTTGAGAGAGTGATAGAGTGAGTGAGGGTTGAGTTGTTGTGAGAAATAATCGAATATGTGAGCAGAAATCAATTTATACTCAATAAAAAAAGCAGACTACAGAACATATTAGATGGATTTAAATCAAATGAGGTTTTCTCCCTTTTTTCTCTGGCCGACGATATTCGCCACCCGGGTGGCAAACAATTATTCGCCACCCTCATTTTTTATTTGCCACCCGTTTTTAAAACTTTAATTTCTCTAGAGACTGACATTATTAGCTGTGAAGGCTATAGCGTTACATGCATTATAATGTTTTTTTTATGTTCATTAGAAACGCTTTTTTGCAATTCCTTTCAGAAAAATGTACGAAAATAACATCTACTTATAATTGATAATCGCTGTCCCATTGGATGGCTATTTATAGTCAACCGGTGTAAAGTCCCACACTTTGAAGATTTTTAGAATCGGATTCCCAAAAACGCGAATGCCTGACATTCCCTATTAGTTTAAGAAACTGGAACAAAAGCTGAGGGTGGTAAAAAAGACCTTAGGGTGGTTAACAAGAATTGTCGGTGGTACACAAGAAATGTGAGTGGTAAACAAATATTGGGGTGGTATACAAGATGTGAGGGTGGTGAACAAGAGCTGGAAGTGGTAAACAAGAACTGCGGGTGGTGAACAGGAATGGAGGGTGGTAAACTAGACCTCCGAGTGGTAAACAAAGACCGAGGGTGGTAAACAAGAGCTGAAGGCAGTAAAGGTTTTTGGGTAGTAAACGGGAGCTGGGTTAATCAATAACATCTAGGGTGGTAAACAAGAGCCGAGGGTGGTTAACAGCAACAAGAGCATCGGCTGGTGAACAAGAGCTTAAGGTGGTTAACAAAAGTTGAGTGGTAAACAAGTATTGGGGGTGGTAAACACGAGCTGAGGATGGTCAACAAGAGCTGAAAATGGTAAACAAGATCTGCAGGTGGTAAACAGGAACGAGGGTGGTGAACAAGAGCTGAGGGTGGTAAGCAAGAATTGTGGGTGTTACACAAGTATTGTGGGTGGCAAACAAGACCTGGGGGTGGTGAACAACAGCTATGTTAATGAAACAAGAGCTGAGTGTGGTCAACAAGAATTGTGAGTGGTAAACAAGTATTAAGGGCGGTAAACAAGTATTAAGGGTGATAAACAAGTATTAAGGGTGGTAAACAAGTATTAAGGGTGGTAAACAACAGCTAGGTTAATGAAACAAGAGCTGAGGGTGGTAAACAATCAATTATTCAGGGTGGTAAACAACAGCTAGGTTAATGAAAAACAACTAGGTTGGTTGGGGTGGTAAACAAGAACTGTGGGTGATATACAAGAACTGATGGTGTTGAACGATAGCTAGGGTGGTAAACAAGAGCTGAGGGTGTTAGGGTGGTAAACATCAACTAGGTAGGTGAACAAGAGCTGTGGGTGGTGAACAGGAGCTGCGGGTGGTGAACAACAGCTAGGATGGTGAACAAGAGTTGAGGGTGGTAAACAACAACTAGGTAGGTGAGCAAGAGCTTAAGGTGGTTATCAATTGTAGGTGTTACACAAGTATTGTAGTGGCACCCAAGACCTGGGTGTTGAACAAGATAATTGTTAATGAACAACATCTAGGGTGGTAACTAAGAGTTAAACAAAAACAGAGGCCGGTAAACAACAACTAGGTAGTTGAACAAGAGTTTAGGGTGGCAAAAAGAATTGTGGGTGGTAAACTAGAGTTGAGGGAGGCTAACAAGAACCGAGGGTAGGTGAACAAGAGCTGAATGCAGTAAACAAGATTGGGGTGGTAAACAGGAGCTGGGTTAATGAACAACAACTAGGGTGGTAACCAAGAGCTGCGAGTAGTAAACAAGTATTGTGAGTGGTAAGCAAGTATTGAGGGTGGTGAACAACAGTTGGGGTGGGAGGCAACATCTAGGTTAATGAAAAACAACTAGGGTGGTAACAAAGAATTGTGGGTGGTAAACAAGAACTAAAGGTGGTGTACAAGAACTGATGGCGGTGAACAACAGCTAGGGTGGTGAACAAAAGCTGAGGGTGGTAACCAAGAACACAGGGTTATTATCACCCGTACACATTACTTACCACCCGTCAGTATGGTTTATTACCGTACGCCTTATTATCACCAGTACACATTACATACCACCCGTCAGTATTGTGTATTATCGTACGCTTTATTACCATCCTTACACATTACTGACCACCCGTCGGTATAGTTTATTATCGTACGCCTTATTACCATCCGTCAGTATTGTGTATTATCGTACGCCTTATTATCACCCGTACACATTACTTACCACCCGTCAGTATTGTGTATTATCGCACGCCTTATTACCACCCTTACGCATTACTTACCACCCGTCAGTATGGTTTATTATAGTACGCCTTATTATCACCTGTACACATTACTTACCACCCGTCAGTATTGTGTATTATCGTACGCCTTATTACCACCCTTACACATTACTTACCACCCGTCAATATTGTGTACTACTGTCCGCCTAATTACCCCCCTTACACATTACTTACCACCAGTCAGTATTGTGTATTACCGTACGCCTTATTACTACTCGTACACATTACTTACCACCCACAGTATCGTACGCCTTATTATACCTTTAAACCTTATTACTTCGAATACATATTTCCACCCACTCCAATGCAGTGTATTTACCACCCACATACATTACTTACACATTCGCGATGGCTCCAACCATCTTTGGATTTTTCGACTCGATTTCCCCTCGTCGGTGTTTGGGATCGGAAGGGCTTACTTGGAAAATGCGTCTAGGATAAATGTGACACAATTTGGACACGCGCCTACTATGTCTTATTTTTTACTATTTCCACATCTTCATCAACCTTTTTTTTTTTACTTACGTAAAGATCCCTCGACAGTTGGAAATCGAAAATAAGAGTAGGCTAATGTCGCTGTCCTGACAAAATTTCCCTCATTGCACACTGCATGACGCTTGCCCATCCTCAGTAGCCCATACAGGTGCAGAAAAGTAGGACGTAAAATTTTATTTTATTTCATTTTTTTTCTACGGATTTCTTATACAAACGTATGATACTAAATTTCATAGCAACACTAACAGGGCCTTTTGGGATGTATGCTAATTTGGTGTAAACAAAATAGCGGAATTTCTACTTTCGTTTCATTGCAAGAAATTAAATTTATATTAACACGGTCTTGTCTGAACCTGACAAAATCCATTACAAATTACTCAGAGTCGACTAATATGTCACTGAAAGAAACAATTATATCAAAAAGGCTGACATTTCATGAATTTTTAGAGATTTTTCTGCCACCCGGATGGCGAATAGTCAAATTAATGGACGTGGACTATTCGCCACCCGGGTGGCGAATATCCACGGCCTTTTTCTCTATTTGGCAACCCATATAGCGACGATTCATTTTATTACGCCCTGTTGGCTCTTAAAAAACACCATCCATTTGACCCTCCGTACATTAGTCTCAGAAACGGGATTTTTTTTTTTAGATAAGCTTATAAATAATAGTGTTCACAGCTCACCGTCGATATTTGAGCCTTCAGATCCACGAGTGTCCAGAATTGTGCGATTTTCATCGAGCAATTCTAGTACATGTACTTAAAAATCAACACCCGAAAATGACAAACCATTTAAACGTAGCCTATATTTGTCAATGCATTTGTCCTTTTGCAACTGGTTGATTACTAAAACAGACGTCTGACTGAAATTTGGAATGGTGTAAATTGATGCTATAAGTGTTCCAATACACATATTTTTTTTTAGAAAACCTCTTTTCAATCCCCTTAATACTTGTGTTTTCTTGATCCGAGTCACTCTAGTCCCCCTAGAACTCTAAAGTGTCAACCCGAGTAGCGGGCACCTGCTGATTGTGACGTCACGACACCCAGCAACGATAAACAGCATGGCGGACAAAAGAGCAGTGCTGAAAGTTAAATGACTTTATGTAAATAAAAGGTAAGTAAGTAATTGAAGGAATTTAGTTTCAGATCGGTGCACCGTGTAAATAAATAATATTTGACAAATACTGTCTGTTTCATAGCGCATGATAATGAGATGTCCGCACGCCAGCTAACATTTAGACATTAGTTGATATGAATATTTGAAGAACGTAAAAAAGGAAATACTCGAGAAAGTTTAATATTTAGAAATCTATCCCCGATGCAACATGTGGGCTAATGAAGACGGGCAATATTTAGATTAAGTCCTAAAATAATCGAAACTAAACGCAATTTTTGCTTTTGTTGAGTCTTTGATTAATTTTTCTGGGATGTCATTGCTGAAACTGAAAATGTCAAATAGTTTGCCACTAAGGCTACACTGCAATACTGACAACACTCTCTGACCAGAATGTTTAAAAACCCTCAATGTTTACAGATTCAAAGTTTGTCATCATTTCTTCTTACCCTTCAGCCAAGATGGTAGGTGGGGGTGGACAAACATTAAATCTCTCTCTCCTCAGCCGTGGTATTGGCGAGGTTCAACAAAATGGACACGAAAAAGTGGAAGTTGTCTTGGAACCAGAGGTAAGTTAATTTTAGCTTCAGATTAAAAAAGTATTGTAAGTTTTACACTTTTTTTATGCCAATATACCTATGAATTCTGATGTTAATTGAGTGACTTCCTTGAACAGGTCGATGAAGGTATTTGAACACAGCATAGGTCGAGATAATACCTCCATAATTTTCAGCACAGATTTCCCCTTCAGTCATTCAGATTGCACAATAAACAAAGGCCATTTATGCTACTGGCTATGCACAGTTGGAAATTGAAAATGCTAATGTCCTGGCAAATTTCTCTTATTGCACACTGCATAAACATATCTTCAGGTAGAATAAAAATTGATTTCACTTTGTTTTTATTTGAACATGATTCACAAATCCACTGGACAATTTTAGTTTTCTTGTTTAACTTACTATTTATATACTACTGCTAAAATCAGTACCCTGTATTTTTTACTTGGCATTTTTATTTATTGCAGGATTACTTTAATTTTGTGCGGGACAGAAAACGACTATATCTTCCACCAATAAAAACCAAATATTTTGCTGCTGACCCTACAGAAACTGTGAGGACGTTAAAAAAACTTGAACTACCGAAGACATTCACAACCAGACGAGGAGCTTTGCTGTTATTTTCTGAAGATTTTGCCATACGCAATGAAAGTTGTGCTAATCATCACAAGAGTATTGTATCTCACAGTTTAGACGATGTGGGGTCTGTAGATTTAAAAACTGTTGATGATTTAGCCAAGTCCATTTTATCATACGGAAAGGAGGTGAGATTTTGATCAGTTTTTGATATTTTCATTTATAATATATGATGACATCTTTTCAGTTCAAAGTCTAGGAATATAATGTTTGTAAAAAAACCATAAAGGGAGGTTTTATGTGTATAGCATTAACTTGCACCATTCTAATTTTGTAGTGAGACAATGTCACTGTTGCAACCTTAGATATGATAGGCAAATTATATGATAAAAATGTATAAAATGCTTATTTTGGATTGAAAATTGGAATGGTGCAAATTGAACCTGCAAAGCATTCCAAATACACATACATGTGCAAAATTTAGAAAAAATAAAACCCAAGGGCTGGGTGATATACCGGTATCAAAATATATACCGGTATAGGAATATATATTGGTGGTAATATAACTTGATTAAAAATACCTAAATATCGTGATATATGGTAGTTATCATGATATATCGTCAAATTTTTAACTTCAATTTTAACAAAATTAATATTTGAAACAGATGTTTTCAGATGATATTCAAGACTGGTTATTTTTTATTAGTTTTTGTAATATTAAGATTTTTAGATAATCAAAAAAAAAAAAACACTTTGTTTAAAAAATCAGTAAAAACCATACTTAATAAATATCACGATATATTAATGCTTGATATCAACTTGAACCAATATCGCCCAGTCCTATATTATTTTGTATCAAACTTCAAAGTGTCTATTGATATGGATCTATTTTTTGTTTTTCTGATATCTTTAGTTGAATTTTTGATGTTTTAGGAAGCCGAGGAAGATGCAGATGTATTTCTGGGATTTGTACATAAAAAACGAAAGTTTAACAATCCACGTCAAATACGACCAGGATTCTCGGCTAAACGCTATTTATCAACTTGGACTCGCATCTGGGATGATTCATTGTTGGAAAATGTAATCAGTAAAGGTCAGTTGATAATGAACCCCATCTTCAAAATGACAAACTGTTATGACCTGTGTCTGATACCTTGACTTCATTGGTCTGTTTTCTAGTATCATGGAATGCAGCGATTTGATCGGATTATACTCAAGAGAATACAGCAATCAGAGCTCTTTTTATAAGGACTGTAATTATCATTATGTCTTAAGGTTTATAGACTTTCTGTAATATAAGAAAGGTGCTATTGCAGTCAAAGAATAAGAAGAAGTTTATAATAGCTAACTGAATGACTTCACTATCTCAAAAACACTTAGTTTTGGTGAAATCGCAATTTTCAAAAATGTCTGACTGAAAATTGGAATGGTGCAAATGAAAGCTATCAGTGTTCCTGAAACACATGAAAATTATAAAACCTCTTTATAATATTCCCTTTTAAGCCAGGTGTCCACTTGAGAGTTTTTTCTGCGAATCTTCGCGACTTACTCGCGAGAGAACTGTCAGTGCTCCTACCATTTGAGAGCAATTGAGATTAAATTTTATTGCGAGTAACTATCAGAGAGTTTGTGCTATCAACTAGGTGCTCAATCTTTTCACGTGTCCATTCTGTACGTTTCGACATATTTCAGACTCCAAGTGTTGTGAAAAATATGATAGGCCTGTTAAAGGGATACTATGACTTAGAATACATAGAATGAATGTATTAAGCGTTTTATAATTAAGTACTTGAAGACGTAGTATCCCTGACAGTTTTTGCAGAAATAGAGCACTGTTTCAGACCCCCTTCCACTTGACAGAAAATCACTCGCCACAGTTCTATCGACAGCTGGGTTCCAGTTCTATCGACAGCTGGGTTCGGATGCCTGACATTTTATAGGAGACCCCTTTCCACTTGAGAGAAATCGCTCTCAGCAGTTCTATCGACTGTTGGTTGCTCGCAAAATACCTTCCACTCGTGAGTTACTCTCGGAGAGCAAACTCGTGCTATGAAACTCTCAAGTGGACGCCCGGCTTAAGTATATTTTCTTTGTATGTTTTGTAGGTTATATCACTGAAAGGTCATTATTTTACGGAAGTATGGTGGCCCCCTCTTTACGACGTAGAATATTTCATGACGATCTATCCCACTATCCTCAGCCGTATCGATTAATGCGGAATATGTTGATATCTCCTGGAAGTCTGTCTGGATATACCTTTTATATGAAGGATGTCGATGAGTTGGAACAAGGTAAGAATCAGGTAGTACTGTGGGTTTTGGAACCAATTCTAAGATTACAGTTTTTTAATTTTTGTGGTGTATTTTTTGAAAAATATTTTGAATGTTTTGAAAATGTATTTTCGGAATATATGTTGTATTTTTTGAAGAATTGTTGTATTTTTGAAAAATTGTTTTTACTTTTGAAAAGTTGAATTTTGTAGAAAAAAAGTGTTGATTTTATTACTTTAGTTGATGAAGAGGAGGAACTGGACTCACAACAACTTTCTCGTCAAAAAACACAGCCGTCCATAGCTGTGGTGAAAACTAGAAATGGAGTCCAACGTGAGGTGAATTATTCTCATTTAGACAAACAGAGTCAGAAAGATGTCCTCACAGATCTACTGGTGAAAAGTGCTGTAAATTATGCGCTTCAAAAACAGCAGGTATGACTGAATTACTTATTGTTGTTTAGAGGACTCTTAGGTTAAGCCCAACGCAGACGAGGAATATTTCTGTCGACGAACAAAAACGTCAAACTTATATATTTGTTTTCCGTTATCCGCAGGTGACAAACATAATTCCGCAGACGACGAACAGTAGCTCGAACAATACGCCAGTGCCACGGAAAATCACATGACCTCAAAATGGCGACGTCCAAATGTAAAATTGCGGTAGCTATTTTATTAATTTTAAAAAGATGCCAACGTAGACGTTGAAATAGGAGCATTTTGGTCCGTACCTGGATTCAACGTTGTAAAGAGCAGGGTGTGTTCGGCAACCTTGTACGGGAGGTAAATTTACCGTTGTTTCCAGGGCTTGTGCTATTTCTTGCATCACAGCTTCTTCTTGTTCCTATCTGAATAGTCGCGAGAAGAAATCATAAAAAAACAGGCAGATTGCGACCACATATCTACTAAAATCTGCTCCTGTTGATGGATTCACTGGACGTCGGCATTTTGAGTGTCATGTGGTCTGGCTAAGATCGCTGATTGGTCTTTCATCGATGAATGTTCGGCGCTAATGTTTGTTGTTAATGCAGACGGCGAACAAAGAATTGTTCGGGAGGCAAACAATTTTAAAAAATCGAACATGTTTGATTTCACAAACAATTCTCACGAAGATTTTTGTTCGTGTATCTGTAATCCGCAGACGGTGAAAAAAATGATCGAAACAAAATTTTTACGATTGTTCGCTTAAAATGTTCCTCATCTGCGTTGGGCTTTAGAGATTCAGTATCTTTACATGACATTAACCCAGTTTAAACTTGTTATTTCTAACACATAATTTAATGGACTGCTCTTGTATTGTACAAAGATAACAAATTGGGTTCTCCAAGGTCTTTCCCACCAGCTGGTCCTAAACATCTTGGGTTAAAGGCAATGGTTGGCAGATCATTCTGAACACACAGAAGTCCCAAATTTCTGATTCACCATTACTGATAAGCTTAACTAAAAGAAATTCCATTTATGAAACTGAAGGTGTACTTGTCTCTTTAACAAATTTTTTCTCGGATCCTGTCTACCAGCTAATCCTTGACCAAACCTTAGAATTTTACCGTAATACATCTAAAATCCCTGTTCTTCAACTGGTCCTTAACTAAACTTCTTGATTTTACAAGAATAAAGCTTTATGTTCCTGTCTACCAACTGGTCCTTAACTAAACCTCTTGATTTTACAAGAATAAAGCTTTATGTTCCTGTCTACCAACTGGTCCTTAACTAAACCTTGATTTTACAAGAATAAAGCTTTATGTTCCTGTCTACCAACTGGTCCTTAACTAAACCTCTTGATTTTACAAGAACAAAAATTGGGTTCCTGTCTACCACTGGTCCATAACTAAACTTCTTTACAAGGTTCCCGTCTACTAGCTGGTCCTTGTCTAAACTTGTTCATTTTACAAGAACAAAAATTAGGTTCCTGTCTACTATCTGGCCCTTGACTAAACTTTTTCATTTTAAAAGAACAAAAATTAGGTTCCCGTCTACTATCTGGCCCTTGACTAAACTTTTTCATTTTAAAAGAACAAAAATTAGGTTCCTGTCTACTAGCTGGTCCTTGTCTAAACTTGTTCATTTTACAAGAACAAAAATTAGGTTCCTGTCTACTAGCTGGTCCTTGTCTAAACTTGTTCATTTTACAAGAACAAAAATTAGGTTCCCGTCTACTAGCTGGACCATGACTAAATTTCTAAATACAAGGATGCCCTCAGGATATTTTTGGTTAAAACTCTGGAAAGCTTAGGGACAAATATCTCTAGATTTTGGGTAATAATAATTTGAGCATGTAACTGCCCCAACCTACTAAAAAAATCAGACTTCTGCATTATCAATTAGATTCTGAAACTTTTTTGTGTCATATGGCTAAGATAATCAGAGATTTTGAGTTCACTTATTATTTTTTCAGGAATTTGTGGAAACAATGAAGAATGCCTCTCCAGAAATAAAACCATCTGAAAGACAAATGGAAGCTTTTGATATGAAAGAAGCAGTTGAGGTAAGAGTTCATTATTTTTTGATGAAGAAATGTAGAGGGCTGGACCCTAAAACAGCTCATTACGTAGAGAGTTGTGTTGTCTTCTGTGCGATGAGAAGTCTGATACCTCTGCCAGTACTTTTAAGAGTCAGCATTGTGGAATAGTGTCACAAAACTAACAAAGTTCAATTCATTATAAGACATAATTAGAAGTGAGGAAACCTATCAGAAATAGAAGACATTATTATAGAATAATTATTCAATATGCCTTATTGTCGGCTGATAACATTTATGATTTGATATGAAAATCAACTTGACATTTTTTATGACAACTTCAGCTTGTTGACTCTGTTGTTTATGAATGTAATATAAAAGGATTTATAACTTAATTAACAAATCATTTGAAATGTCCTGAATTTAATGAATGAATAGTTGTTAAGTGTTCTAATGGGAGGACATATGCATCAAAGTTGGGAAGTTCTGGGATGCTTTCACTTCTAGGCAAGGCAACAGTATTTTTATATGTTCACAATATATAATCTCTGTCAGGTAGACTGTCCATCCATCTGTCCCCAAGTACTTGCCAACACAAACAGACTAAATTATTGCTTGAATTTTTGACGAAACTTAGCATGCTGATGTATATTGATGAACTTTCGGACTTTCGGGAATTTTTGATTAGGTTTTTTAGGTTTATAATCCTTACAGAAACTGAAAGGTTTACCTAAAACTTTAAGATAATTTCTGAATTTTAGAAATTAATGTCAGAAATTTTGTTCCATTTTCAGTTACATTTAGTCTCCATGTAATCTTACAAGTTTTGTAGCAAAGGTCTGTCCCAAAGGTAGTTTTTCCAGCCAATTACAGCATTTCATGAAGAACCAATTTCTTGATAAAAATAAATGGAATTGTGGGATATTGAAACCTCAAGTAGATCAATATTATAGCTTCTTTGAGTTTCACTGTTCCACAATTCCCTATGTTATCAAGAAACAGGTGTTAGTGACCCACTTTGATTGGTTAAAAATAACATCGTTAGGACCTGGAAAACATTTTACAATACAATTAAGTCTGGGTATCGATTACCAAATTGAGATTGATTATTGATGGCATGCTATCGATCAATAATTGATTAATAATCAAAACAGTTCAACTGAGAAACTCTGTAGATACAAAATATAAAACATGCCAAAATTCTTTATTTCATGGGTAATTCTTGTGTCATAGAAATATATTATTGCTTTGATCAGTTATTATAGTTTATTGTGAGTAAGTTATTTTCTGAAGGAAAACTATGTGGAAGAGATTACTACTTGTTAATGTTATTTTACCCAGCCATTATTACAATATAGACTAAAAATCTTAGAAAACAAATAGAATTGATATTTTAGACTAATTTTAATTAAATTGGGGACAGATAGACATATCTCTAGATTTTGTTCTTTAGTTTTTGGAAAAATTCAGACTGCCCCTTTAAACTCAATTTCATTCCAGTTATTTCTGATTAAAATATCATTTGAAATGTTATATTTCAACTAGTATTGATTCTTACTCTGTAATTAATCAAACTATCAATAGTTTCACAATAGGTCTATATTGATCTTAGTCTAGACTAGAATAGTTGCTTGACATACTCAATTAGTCATTCACATAGTCCAATAGGTATTAACAGATTACTGTCTGACTTTATGTTGTTGAAATGATCAATTCAAATCAAAATGGCTAAAGTTTTAGTTCTTTGACTTATCAATCGTTGCTTGTAACCAAGGTGTAGAAACGTACTCACTTGACTGTTAGACACTGTCCACATCACGTTAGTACAGGTATCTGTCAAAGGCTGAAACTGTATGTACTTGTGGAAAACAAAGGAAAAGGTATAAACTATTAAAAGCACATTATTCGCTTACGCACAACCAATATAGCCGATGCAAATCGATTAAAAAACAACATAGAAATCGATCATCAATGGCAGTATTAAATACTGTAAAAATAGAACTGCTAAACTCAGAGATCAACTTACAAAACTAGAACAACAAAAATTAGATTTAGAAAATGATCATAATCTGGCTTGTGACCACTTTGACAATTTACACCAGACCCTCATACAGGACATCAAAGCAGTACAGAATAACTTGAATAAGGGGCCTCTTATTCGGTCTAAGACCCCCTTCATGGAAAGCGACACATCTAATATAGATATCTTTAGAAAAATAGAATTAGACAATGGGTCTAGCAAAATTATTGAAAACTTTCGGATCATAACGGCCATATCACATCGGAGATCAGAAATCTTGAGCATAATTCACAGTTACTATAAAAGTTATACACCACACCATTGATAACTATATCAGAGAGTCTGGTATTTCTAGTCCACCGACAGCAGACAGTGACCTGATCAGTGAGACTATTATGTCCACTCATGAGATTTACATTGCCTTGAAACATTTTTAGAATAACAAAGCACCCAGGATCGCTGGGATGCCAAAAGAATTTTATCTAACATTTAGGGATTCAATGAAAGACGATCTTTCCGAAATTATCAACAACGTCTATTTTAGACTACGTCTCACTGATACGATGAAAACCTCAATTTTAACCATTTTAACTAGAAAAACAAAGGATCCACAACCGATTTAAAAAAAAAACTATAGGCCTATCTCTCTGTTGACAGTGGACTACAAAATAACTGCCAAAGTGGTCAAAACTAAAATAAAAGAAATAAATTCTGCAATTTTCAACTTTCTCTGGGATGGCAAACATGAGACCATCGCCATAGATACCCTAAAACTTCTGGTCGAGTTAGGTGGGCAAAATGTCTGTGACGTGGCTGTCAAGCTGGAAACATTTGATCTCCACCTGGGTCGACTGCGGGATCAGGTACCTGTGGGCACTGTTATTCTACTGGGGGGTCCAACTCTTAGAGAATACAATCACGACTAAAGCTATCCAACAATGACACTGAACACTCATCCCTCCTACAAACCTTTATTTGCAAACTTTCAGAAACTGAAAATTACTGGAAAAACCACATCAAAGGACATCAATTTGACACTTATTCAGGATCTCAAAATTATACCTAAAATACAACGAGGAAACAGACATATCAACATCAAATCTATCTTTGGCAATATTCAAAATTTAAAATTAAATCTTCTGGAAAAAGACTTTGTCTCTCGTTATATATTCGGCCCTGCCTACAAAATACTTTTTGAGGGTTCGCAGCTCTACAGATTTTGATCTGAAATGCAAATTCTGTGGAGTTGAAGTAGAAACCCTCAAATATGGTGAAGTAAAGTAATATGTAATTCCATTTCATTCACTAATTAAGGTGCAAACAGTGGGATGAAAATTTCATTTCATTGATCCAATGATTTGATTTTTTTCCTTAAGATGTAAAACCACATTTTATTTCAAAATGACCCATAACTTATGGACACCTGCTAGAAAACAATTTTGAAGAGCTTAAAAGCTTTACTGTATAAGATAAGTGTTCAGAAATTGATTTAAAGGGGCAGTCTGGTTTTAGTAGGTTGGTAATCAAATTTATGAAAACTATAGACCAAAATATAGAGAAATGTGTCTTTTATCAATCTTATCCAACTAAAACAATCCTGCCTTTTATTTTTAGAATGCAAAAACTATTTAAAAAGTAGATTTTGAAGATCGTGTTGGGAAACTAACATACAGCTTATAATGTGTAGCCTAATTATTTTGAAAAGTTCAACTAAAAATATCAATCAAGGCCTTATAACAAAAACTAGTTAGAACTTACAATACAGTTGGATCAAGTTGATACATACATGTTAATAATATAAAACAGAATTTTTTTTATGTATTATTTAAACTTAGCATACTGCCCCTTTAAAAAACATTAAAATATTCTTTATTGTTATTCAGAGCTTAATTTTATAGTCAAACCCTTAAAAACTAATATTTTTCATTTTCATTGTCCAAATTCCAATTTCTTTTTTATAGACTTAACTTATTGTTGATTTGTTTAGAATCGTATTAGTCTACTCTAAAAAGTATTGTCTGAATAACTGTTTTGTTCGGACATGGATGTGTTTTGGTCATGTTTAATGTGTCTAAGGTTGTGTTAAAGGGATTATAAAGCTTAAAGTCCTTTAAGCTTGAAGGATTTTTATGGATTTAAACTTGTTGAATTATTGGATATGTTAGTATGTATGTATTTGAAATGGTATTGTGGCCAATGTTTGAGGACTCTACATCCAATTACACCATTTATCTTCTCTGATGTTATGAAATTCCAGAGAAACTTAGTGATAACATTAGTTATGTTATTTGCAATAGTGATGTAATAACCTGGTCAAAATTAGGAGGGAAAAACATAAAGTTGGAAATAGAATCTATAAATATTTCTTATTTAGTCTAGAATACATGATTTGAAAGATGTCAAAGATGAGAAAATAAACCACTTGTGCTTTGGGTCTTGCACAATAAAGATCCCATGACAGGAAATCAAAAAAGAGAAGACTACTTTCCTGGCAAATTCCCCTTGTTACACACTGCATGGTGTTTGTCAATCGTCAGTTGGACAAACCCACTAAAAAAAATTCAGGTTGATCAAATAGATACATACAAGTAAATAGTATATTTAAGTCTTTATGAATCATTTTTATACACCCACATGGAAATGTGGACGTATATTGCCGTCGCCCCTGTCCGTTGGTCCATCAACATTTCTTCATAGAGACTGCAGTTTTCAATTGATTTTAATGAAATTTGGTGTGATAATTTATATATTTGTTTGTGAACATATTAGAGACTACAGTTTTCAATTGATTTTAATGAAACATGGTGTGATCATCTATATTGATGAGATAATTTGATGTATTTGGGTTATTGATAATTTTTTTTAAAAATTTTGTGGTATTTCTCAGCATAAATAACTGGCAGTAAATATATATATCATTGAATTCAAACTATTAAAATTTCTTTAATATGAGAAAATTCATACTTTAGTTACTAAAGACTGTTTTATTATTTCTGACAACTGCCAGTGGGTGTATGTTACCTTGCCTGGCAAGCTATCTTATGTATAATTCATGAATGTTTTTAATAATAATACGTAAAATACTGTCTCTGTTTTTTTGGGGGGAAATTGAAACACCAAAACTATTTAAAAACATTGCTGCTTTTTATGTTCATTTTTTGGTAGGTGTAAGAAAATTACTGTACAGATTTAAGCAAAATAAATGCAAAAACTCGGTTGCGCTGCCCAATTAATGATAAGTAATCTCCATTTTCTCCAAAGAAAATTCAGTTTGATCGAGTAGCTACATAGATATAAATAGCATACTTTAGAAATATTTTCAAGTATAATTTACTATTTAATATTAATGAAAATGAAAATATTGCCCCCTTAAGCTATGGGTTAATTCAATGATTTAATGATTTGAATCAATCAAGCTCTAAGCACCATGTTAATTTGTTTAACTCAGTAAAATAAATAAAATAATAGAAAACAAAATGTGGATATAAAACAGTTTATACAATTAATAAAATGATAAAATAGCAATTAATTAGTTAGAACCAAGATCAATGGTTGACATTTCATAAATTTGAATGCATTACTTCATACAAGGCTCTTACTGACCTGAAGGAATGACTCTCAGCGAAGGATCAATCAATCTAATTACAGTTTTGTTTCTTTTTTATTTTCTGATATTTTTCGTCTCCATTATAATCTAACAAGTCTTGTACCTGTTTTTTTACGTTATTGCTTTGGGTTTCACATTTTCCTAAATTTGTTATGTAATCAAGAAACTGGTTCTACATGACATACTTGGTCAAACATGATTGGTTAAACATAAGGTGTTAGAAAACAATGGAGACTAAAAGTAAACCCAATTGTAATCTAATTTTAGTTATATTGATAATGAATTGACACTTGAATGAGTTGAGTTATGAATATTTAGATATGAAGTAATTTGCAAAATCATATGACGCTTATTGAACTGAAGTGAAGAAACTGGATAGTAAGGACATTAGTGAAATAAAGTATTATATAATATTTAGACAATGTGTTATTGGATTATAAACTATGGTTCATTATTGATATATTCAAGTTAGAGAGAGATCAGTCATTCTAAACTAGAACTTTAGTATAATATGTAGCACTGTAATTTCAACGATTTCCAAATTAGTAGCAAATTTTGCTATTTGGTTTGTAATATAAACATTGTATTTTGTAATTTGGAAAAGTTAGGAATAGTGAGTGAATTTGGTGGTTTGATTTGGATGAATATAATTTGATAAAAAAATATTTTGAATAGTTTTTGACCCCTTTTAAAAGTAATGGCCATGTCAGTGAATTTGGTGGTTTGAATTAGCTGGATATTATTTTTGATAAAGAATAGGATAGTTGTGGAATTTGGAATTGGTTGGAGGCTTGATTTTGTTAATAGTTGGTCAAAAAAAGGCTTCAGTTTAGATACTTGCAAACATTTGACATAAATCTGCTTGGCAGCATTCATGTGAATAAAAATTGTTGGACACAAATGTGTTTTTGGAAACCTTGATTATTACATTAGAGACATTACCACTTCTTCACTTCTTCAATGACAAACTGTGCATTATTGAATCTGGAAACGCTGGCTGTGGCATGATTTTACCAATGTTAAAAAATAGTAAGACAAAATGTCAACGTATTAAACGTGGATTAGGATCTGGTTTATTCCCCCATTGTGTTATAGATAGTGAGAAATTAACAAGAGTTGTGGTAGGTAATGTGTTATCACCGTTGTTTAAGTTTAAATATATTATATTTTAATATTTGTATATCTCACTGAGTTATTGCTCTTTATTTGATACATTGAATTTGATATTTATATTAGTACTGGGAGATATATTGGTAGCAAAATAAATACTGGTATAGGGTTTGTGACATGCCTGATAAACAATATCTCCATTTGTGATATTATTGATTGTGATATCAACTGAAACCAATATATTGCCTAATATCATTTGAATTTTGTTTTAGTCATTATTAGAATCAGAAAAAGAAAATCGTGAGTTTGAAATTTTAACACAGAAAGCAGCAAATAATATTTCAAGTCCTGGTAAATTGGTTTTTTTTTTTCTCTGAAGAAAATGATAGCAGACGAAAACTCATTTTATGCTGATGCTCTGTGTTTTGGACCCAGAATCCTTAATCAGGATATTTAAAAGACACTAGCAACATCTGTTCTGTCAATCTGTGTACCCACAATTGCTTGTAAACACTCAATTTGAGACAGGACTTTGCAAAAATAGGTTATTTTCATGCAAAGATGAACCCTATAAAAAATTCAAAAATATATATGATCGATTTTAAAAAAACTGGGTAAAATTTGCCCTAAACTTTGCACGCTAAAAGTCCTAGAAGCATTCAAAACGCTTAGAATTTATGATCATCATAAATTATCAATTCCATTTTTAGCATCCAGTAGTACCTGGCCTTATGAAGAATATAAATCTCAGGTTCAACTCCCATCTCTTGATGACCGATCACGCCATCTCAGTACCATAGAGGATGTCAGCCGGGAGGAAACAGGGCTGAAAGTGCTGCCACCTATTGGACAAGGTCTGTATATATTTCCTGCAGAGATAAGATTTGAACGATATTTAGAAGCGGAGAGCACAAATATATGCACTTTGTTATTAAAGAAGTCTGGACTCTCCTTACACATTTTTAAAGTGGCAACAAGTGTATCATTACCTTGTTATTTTTTTTTTTATTGACTAATATGGCCTGATCTATGTTTGTGCTTGAAAATAATTTTTTGTTTTTCAGTTGAAGGCATACCAAGTTTAAATGTTGCTCCCCCTACGCCTAGAGAAGCTGTAACAGATAGGGTGACTCAGACATCACCATTAGACAGTAAGATATACTTCTTTATGATATAGTGGGTGAGGTGGTATCAAGTGGTTATAAATGTAGAAAAGGGGTACAAAGTGTCCAAAATATTGTAAACCTGGGATGGTGGGTGAGGGCGTATCAAGTGGTTATAAATGTAGAAAAGGGGTACAAAGTGTCCAAAATATTGTAAACCTGGGATGGTGGGTGAGGGGGTATCAAGTGGTTATAAATGTAGAAAAGGGGTACAAAGTGTCCAAAATATTGTAAACCTGGGATGGTGGGTGAGGGGGTATCAAGTGGTTATAAATGTAGAAAAGGGGTACAAAGTGTCCAAAATATTGTAAACCTGGGATGGTGGGTGAGGGGGTATCAAGTTGGTGTAAATGTAGAAAAGGGGTACAAAGTGTCCAAAAAATTGTAAACCTGGGATGGTGGGTGAGGGGGTATCAAGTGTGTGTAAATGTAGAAAAGGGGTACAAAGTGTCCAAAATATTGTAAACCTGGGATAGTGGGTGAGGTGGTATCAAGTGGTTATAAATTTAGGAAAGGGGTACAAAGGGTCCAAAATATTGTAAACTTGGGATGGTGGGTGAGGGGGTATCAAGTTGGTGTAAATGTGGAAAAGGGATACGAAGAGTCCAAAAGGTTGTGAACTAGGGATAGTGGGTGGGGGTGTCAAATGGGTGTAAATGTAGAAAGGGGGTAGGCAGAGCCCAAAAGATTTTGAACCAAGGATGGTGGGTGAGGGGGTGTGAAAACCTTTCACTGTAGCCTTGAGTGACAATGGCGCCAGTCCATCTGAACTCTGTCAGGCCCACTCGTAATCTTACATTGAAGCAGACGCGGGTTTTTTGGTATCTGTCGATTTGTACCGAAAATTCGCAGGGAACTAGCCAAAATCTTCCTGGGTACTCATTTACATTTACTCTAGATAATGGTGAGTTACCGCCGCAAATTGCAGTTTTTGACTCCTTTTATAATCTTTAGTAATTAACCGGGTAACAAAAGGTTATTGCCGACGATTACCTGGTTCGTAAAATTCACTAACAGTTTCAACACTAAAAGGTACGAAGAGTCCAAAAGGTTGTGATTGTGGGTGAGGGTGTGTCAAACTCATTATCTCTTCCATGGCAGATGGAGATGGCTGGGCTTCTGGGTTAAATGAAGATTCTCTGTTAAAACAAGGGAACCAAACAGACAGACTGCATGGCCAGGTACAGAGTGACAGTGATAAAACTAAACTTCCTGCCATTACAGTCCCTAAAGGTAGGTGCCTGGACCTGTTTTTTTGGGTGATGTTGTGACTTTTTTTACTAACGTGAACACTTAAACTGACAGTTTTATAACTTAGTAAGTTGGATTGTAGTCTGCTCAATGATGATGTGTCGTTGGTTCGAATACTCCTCAAGGTCTGAAAAAATCTTTTATGCCAATGTCGAGGCGTCTGATAATCAATCTGAAATTCAGCTAGTTTTATCAGCTGCTGAAACCAATATTAGATGAAAAATGCCTTTAACATATGCTATTTATTGCAGGTCCCTTTCAAGCCCATTTTGCCAGTGATACAGAGAATGTTACTACATCCCGTCATGCTCCAGGCAAACCTCTACAGAAACGCCCTTGGGGTGGCTCTACTCAAAGTCTCAAAAGTCTTCCATCAAAACGAAGCTGTAAGTGCCAACTATATCTGCTAGCTTAAAAATATGAAAATCAGACTGGTATCAAAGACACATAGAACTTAAAATGCAAGAAATGACCTTGAATTTCAAGTAATGACCTTGACCAAGAAAATGTCCTAGACATTGAAAAAAACTATTGAATGTGAATTTTTGTTTTAGCTGGTAGCATAATAGGTGATGGTTCATTGAAAGGAAGTTTAATAGCGGCACCTGGTGGTGAAATAGTTCGTGTTGGTGGATCAGTGGCTCAGTCTAGTAGTCATGGTGATGTGGCAAATCTGAATGATGTCACACCACGTAGAACATCAGGTATTTTAGAAATTTGCTAAAACATCACTGCATATTCACCTCGTCTTATACCTTGACTACAATAGCCACTATTCTTTTTTCATGAAATGCAGTGATTTGATTGAGTTATATGCCATCAAATACTCCACTCAGAACCCTGCTTATTCACTGGCTTCTAATCCAACCAAATCATTGCATTTACAAAGGTCTGTGATACAAGAAAGGTGGTTATTGCAGTCAAGGTATTGGACCAAGTTTGTAATAGCTTGACATTGTGAAGATGACATTACTGATGAGTTCCAAGTTTAAACAGCTTTATTGTATAATTATATGTAACTGGGGTTGCCAATTTTAGACAGTGACAATTTAAATGATTTTGAAATTTTACACCAATAGCTCAGCACTCAATATTCACATGACGTTTGATCTTAAGATTTTTGCGAAAATGATTCCTTTTTTTTTTCTTGGATTTTTCTTTCAACTTTGCATTCCTTTCAGAGAGTACAAATGGGCAATATTTTATTAATTTGTCATTCTGTTGCACCAAATAACTAATGCTTAAAATTAATGATGAATTTTTGTTTCAGTATATCACATCACAGATGATTCCGATGCAGAGGAAGTAGAGCAAGCAGAGCAATGGCTGACATCACAACGCTCAGACAAGCATTTCACCTCAACTTCGGGTTTCTATGGTTACCGTAGAAGTAAGATTTTGGATTCAATATTTACTTCTCTGCATAGATTGTTTTTCTTATTTGCCAATTTGATTAAAATGCAGATGTGAATTGTTTTGTTTCAGGTTTTTTTCCCCCACGGTTACTACTAGCCCATATGTAGCCCAGGGAGAACTTAATTTAAGATATCTAGCTCTGCATTTTAAAAAGATTGTCCTATTGCATTATTTTATTACATGGTAGATTTTGAGATTCTTAGACAGCCAATATTAGAAACTATATTTAACGTAATTTTTTTTTCTTTGTCACTTCTATGTCTATGTAGATTTCTATTTGTAACATTTCTTTATATTTTTCTTTGTGTTTTTTTTAACTTTTTATTCCTAGATATTTTCCACAAATGTTTTTTCCCTACATTTTCCTTTACTGATTATGCTTAATCTAATCAGATCTTTGTTTAGTATTTGTTCTGTGGGTTACTTCACTCAGACTTTGATCTGAATACTTGTATTTTGACTTTAAATTTAAACAATATAGCTAGATACCACATCCGGCTGTAACTACATCAAGGCAAATGCCACATACTGAATTTAAAAAGTTTAGAAAATTAAAAATGTCAATATGATATATGGTCTATATTAAAAGAGGTCACTGTTTGAAGTATAACAAAAGCGTTGCTATTGAAAACTTAGTGGTTTTCTGCCCCATAGAAAGACCTTAGTTACGGACCTTATAGAACTTATTGTAGATTTTAGGCCTACAAATGTTTTCAAATGTAGAATAAGTGAAGTTACCCAAAGAATTAGATAAAATAAAACAACTTTTTGTAACCTGTATTTTGATGTGATTGGACTGCATCTATCTAGGTCGAGGTTTGTCTATTGGTGATTTGGATGCCAGCATGTCCTTAAAAAGTTTCAGTTTTTCACGGAAGGATACAGATGAGGATGTAGCTTCTATATCAAGTTTTGTACCTCCAGTATTGAAGTTGGAAGAAGGTAATGCTTCAGACCACATTTATTGATTTACACAGATTTCAAGACAACAGCTGTTGCTTAATCAAAATTATCCAGCCCTTTAATTATCTTATTATTTATTTTATGAAAATAGAGCTTAAATTGACATCAGTATCATTTTTCAAGGTAAGAACTTGATGGCTGGCTAATCTGCAATTAAATCGATAAGTATTTTGATAATTTATAAGAGATGTATCTTTTGCATCATTTCTATGAGTACAAATTGTATGTATTAAAGTTTAAAATTTTGATACTTTTTGAGAAGAAAATACAATTTTTGCCCCTCAGATAAAGATATTGTTGAAGTAGACCAAAAAACAGAACTTAAAGATTGGGACAAAATTACAGAGTATCCTGAACTGGAGGGAATTGAAACCAACCGCAGTCAAGTTATCACAGATAATAGCAAAACCCCAAGTCCAAAAAAATCTGTCCGAGTGGCCACGCAAGCCAGTGATACAATCCAAGAGATTGCCGATGTCAATTCTGTCCATTATGAAAGTCCAAATCTTGAGAGTTCAAATGACTCTATTCAAAGACCTCAAGAATCCATAGAAGATGATGCTAATGATGAAGCTTCCAAAAAGGAGATGATGTCCAAAGATGCTTCGATAACCATGGAGCTACCAGTACCTCGAATTGAACTGGAACCGATTCCAAAAACAGAAATCGTAATAGATACCATTGTCAGTGACGCTTACAATTCATCTGGAGTAGAATCAGGGTCCTGGTCATACAGACAGAAAAAACTAACCAAACGAAAAAAGAAAAAATCTGCCGTTTCTGAGGAAAATGAACGAATTCCTACTTCAACACCACGAAAAGGTGCATTATCTCCCTTACCAGGATTAGGATTAGGATTAGGGCTACCTCAACTGAGTATCCGTTCTTTGTCTCACTCAGACATCTCTCAAGACATCGCTCGTTTGAAGACTCCAAGTCCGACCCGTAGGAGGGCATCTATTGTTCAGATTAGGTCCCCTACAAAAGATCTGGGTCAAATTGAGTTGACACCAGCAGGCATCCATGAAGTAGAAGAACCTTCAAATACAAATCACGACAGAAAGCAACTGCCTACAAATTATAGACATCGTAGAATCATGCGAAGAAGGGTTCGGAAAAAATCCATTCCATTGATTGAGAGAAGACGACCGGCTGCTAGAGTTCGAGCAGAAGTGAGAAGTTTGCCGAATCCAAACACTGGTGAAGATGAAGAAGAAATAGAATATGAGGAAACATGGTGTGAGAGCCTTAGTCCGACATTTTGGGAAGATAACTCTTCCGAGTATGAATCTGAATATTACTATGACGATGGTGAGAAACTCAAAGAAAGTGATTTAGCAGAATTGAAAGAATTGTCAAAATCAATGTCATCCATTAATGATGGATCCCTGTTGTCTGATAATAGAATATCTGGATCTGGGTTACCTAGCAACCAAACTTCCTCACGTCTGAATTCTACAAGATCCAACAAATCTGAAGTTGTCAACACTGTAGATGAAGGTATTTGATGTCCTAAATGTAAATTTGGTGTAATAACCAGCACCCTGCACTTGGAATACAATTTATATACTTTGAATACGGTTGATGCACTTTGAATAAGGTTTATATACTTTGAATACAGTTGATGCACTTTGAATAAGGTTTATATACTAAGAATACGGCTGATGCACTTTGAATAAGGTTTATATACTTAGAATACAGTTAATGCACTTTGAATAAGGTTTATATACTAAGAATACGGTTGATGCATTTGGAATAAAGTTGATGCACTTGTAATAAGGTTGATACACTTGTAATACGGTTTTTGCACTTGGAATAAGGTTTATACACATGGAATAGGGTTTATGCACTTTAAATATGGTTTATGCTTTTACTAAAAATACGGTTGATGCACATGGAATAGGATTCTGCACTTGGAATACAGTTGATACACTTGGAATATGGTTGATGCACTTAGAATACGGGTGATGCACTTGGAATATGGTTTATGCAGATTAAATATGGTTTATGCATTTAACTAAATGCATATTTTGAGCAAACAAATAAGTATATATTCAATGATGAGCATAAAAATGGTTTTGATTTTTTCCAATTTTGGGATTGGTAACCAGTGCCCTTGGACTATGCTTTTCAAGTTAAATTCACAAGATGAATTGTTATTTATAAAGTGTATGCATTAAAGATGATATATACATGTAAATGTATCTGATGTAATTCAAGGAATGCTTCCTACTTTTTATGTGATTTTTTAGGTGGTTGGTTCACTTTATATTTTTTCTCTGGTGGTGGATTTTGTTTAACAAATTAATCCTTATTTTATATAACATTTTATTTAGATATTTAAAAAAGATTAATATTTAACCTGAATTTACAATTTCTATCTTCAATCAACTTTATATTTTTTTTTTCGTTCATTCCTTTTTAATTTTTTTAATTTTTCTCATTTTATTCATATCCATGAGACAGATCATGTTTAAAAACTTCAAAAAACAATATTTGTCTCTTTAATGATTTATTCATACATAACTTTTTGTGTATCAAAGGTGTAGAAGCTGTTTTTTTTATGAAAGAGGAAGGTGGAAGATCTTTAAAATTGGATAGCTGCCCATTGTTTTTTCATTAAGCCTGAAAATGTTTTTCAGAACCTGTAACTGAAGAAGGTATAGTTAATGCTCTAACGGAGCATGCCCAAGCCATAGCTGAACATATCCTTGTAGCAGGTGGGGGCATTAACTTAGAAGAAGATATTAGGGTAAGCTTCTTTAATTATAGAGTTATTGCCCTTGAGTTTATAAATTCTTACTAAAGGTATGTGTTCTATGCAATGAAATTCTTTTTTGTATGAGTTATTGCCCTTGATTTGATGGATATCTACTATGTGTCTTTTGCAATGAGATCTTTGTAGTATAACATAGTGTCCTTGACATTAGTATTTGATGAAATAATGAATGAATATTGAACAGAGCATTGGCTTTATTCAACATAAACATTTAGAAAGATTTATTGCTCTTGATAAAATGAATACTTGTAGAAAGATAGATGCTATAAATTATATGGTAAGGGAAAGAATGCATAAGAAGTATGACCCTTGATCTGATCAAAATTTGATACTCATATAACCATTGCAAGAAATTAATCAGTTTCGTATGGAGTTACTGCCCTTGAGCTACGAAAAACTAAAGCTAAACTTGAGCTAAATTATGAAATTTGTAATGCAAGTTTGCAAAAATTCTGACGGTATTTCTCATTCATAACAATCTTGTTTGAACAAGTAAGGATAAAGACAACTCAAGTAATGTTAATTCAATTTGATAATTCAAATTGAACAAGTAAAGATAACCCAATTTGAACTAGTAAAGATGACCGAATATGAACAAGTAAAGATAATTCATTTTGTTTTGAAAAGATCTCAATTTGATCTAGTAAAGATAACCCAAAATTGAACATGTAAAGATAACTCAAATTGAACAAGTAAAGATAACTCAAATTGAACAAGTAAAGCTAATTCAAATTGAACAAGTAAAGATAACCCAATTTGAACTAGTAAAGATGACCCAATATGAACAAGTAAAGATAATTCATTTTGTTTTGAAAAGATCTCAATTTGATCTAGTAAAGATAACCCAAAATTGAACATGTAAAGATAACTCAAATTGAACAAGTAAAGATAACCCAAATTGAACAAGTAAAGATAACTCAAATTGAACAAGTAAAGATAACTCAAAAGGAAAAAAAAAATATGTTTGATGTTTGGAGATTTTGCATTTCCTTGTGTGCACGCAGCCAGTAGGTGAAACTCTTAACACGGTTCTGATCAGCTACAAAAACCTTTCATGATTTTGATATGTTATATGTTATGACAATTTTATGATTTCTATTATTCTTTAAAATTGTATATTGTATACTGATGTATGTTTATCTAGAAAGCAGCCTTATTGTGGATGAAAACTCATCCAGCGAGAAAAATATCCAGAAGTCAGTCAGTACAGGAAATGAGTGATAGTGTAAGAAAAGTATCTGTCATGTCATATTGTGTTTAGTTAAGTCCAGACAGTCTAGGATATTTATGCTCATCATTATTTAAAAATAAAATTCCTCAAAGCCATTCCATCCATCAAAAAAAAAATGGGATTAAAGGTAGTATAGTAGTGGACTCTTCCAAAGAGAAGTACCATCATATGCAATGTCTACATTTTGGACTGCACTATTCTATCATAGATATATTAATGGTCATTAATTCTTTCTAAGACAAAGGTAGGATTGGTTAAACGCATGTCCCTTTGAAATATCCAAGATAGCTTTTTTGGGCAATTATTTTAATTTGATTAGTACATGTTGGGCATAGATATCTTTGACTGACTGTAATCACTTGTTCACAGTGTTGTATTGTTTTGTTAATTACCTTCACCTTCACGATTGCCTTGACGTTCACAATAAATATTTATAAACTCATTCAAATTCCTCTTGACCTTCCCAGTCACCTCCATAATCACTTGATCACAATAACCTTGACCTTTCACAATATTATTGACCATTACAGTTGCCTTGCTTTTCACTGGACCTTCACACAAATGGCTTTGTCCTGCACAATGTCTGTCACTTTCACCTAACCTAACTTTTGACCTTCACATCACCTAACCTTCCATATAGCCTGGACCTTTATAGTTACCTTGACCTTCACAATCCCCTTAGCATTCAACATCTTCAGATCCCAGTAATTCTTCATTCCATATCTTCACAACCACTTTCCTTGGCACATCCAAACCCAAACACCAAAGTAATGATAAATTATAACAAATAATGATTGGATAAATTTGTTTAATCAAAATTGTCTAATGAGTAATGAGTAAGGATAATTTTGACTTGGAATGGAAGACTACTAAATATTTGAAGATGCACAATCACTAGATCACAGTGTCTTTTTTTGTTAAGTTTGTTTGCCATGTTTCACATTATTTCATTATATATGTTTTTTTAACTGTACTTTAAATTGTTCACCAATTCAATCATTTTCCAATCAACTTTGAACAACAATATTTTTTCGTGCCTTTTCATTGTTATTTTTGATTAACAGCTTTATCATGTGTGCCAATTAAAAGGTGAAGTGAGTTGTAGATAAACCTTCAGTTAACCCTTTCTAAGCCCATCTTCACAAAGTTGGGTCTTTTGCCACCTGTGTCTTCAATAGCCACTTTTCTTGCATCATGGAATACAGCTATTTAATTGGATTGTATGCCAGAGTATACAGCCAATCAGAGCCCTCTACAGAAAGACTGTAAACATCATTACTTAGGGCCTGGTTATACGAGGCTTGACGTCACAGTGACAGAAAAAAATTCGACAATGAATGGTGAATAAATTTATGGCTGATGATTTTGACTAATTGTGATGTATTCAATAGCATACAATCAAATCAAATCACTGAAATTACAAACTTCAAAAATGCAAGAAAGGCGGCTATTGGAGTCATGGTATAAACAGAAGATTATAATAAAATGTAGATTTCAGTAATTATAGTTTCCAAATTGATATAAAGTTTTGTTACCAGCTTTTTTATAGATATATATGTTTTATATTTTATCTATATATTTGCTTTTACAAGCTGGATAAACGGCCAGCTTCATCTGGCTGTGATTTTCTGTTTATTACTTTCTATAGCATGCTGTTGATACAGTTATGAAAGCTCAGAGAATCAACAGCGCAGGACCTACAACTGCCGAATATAAGGAAATACTCAAAAAGTCCATCACAA